ATTATAGCATTAGCGGTTTAGATATGCACATTAAACCTATTAGAGGCGGGACCACGCCCACTTTTTAAAAAAAAATTTTAACTGCAGATGCCCCTCCCTAATGTGATCCTGTGTACCAAATAACAGTCTTGTATCTTATTGCGGAGCTTAGTTATGGCAAGTTATTTGTTTTTGATTAATGGCGTTTTGTGGGCGTGGCAGTGGTCCGATTACGCCCATCTGTAATACCAACCGTCTCACGGTACCATGAAACATGTGTACCAAGTTTCATAAAGATATCTCAATTTTTACTCAAGTTAGAGCTTGCACGGACGGACGGACGGACAGACGGACGGACGGACAGACGGACAGACAGTCACCCGGATTTCAACTCGTCTCTTCATCCTGATCATTTATATATATATAACCCTATATCTAACTCGATTAATTTTAGGTGATACAAACAACCGTTAGGTGAACAAAACTATTATACTCTGTAGCAACAGGTTGCGAGAGTATAAAAACCTAAAATGGCATGCAAATAGATGAAAGCTCAATGAGTCGAGATAAAAGCGCTAGAAACAAAGGTTTAAGTTTAGTGTTTATTTGGTTAATAAAAGTGAAAGCTCTATACAGTAGCTTTAGCTAGAATATAACCATCTAAAAGCTTTGAATCTTTTCTAAATCTACAAAAACTGCTAAACATTGTGCTCAGATCGTGGCGCTTAGAAGCTTTCGTATTTGCAATGCTTTTATACATACGTATGCGAAAGCTTTTTTAACTGCTTTGTTTGTCATTGATATTGTTTTATATCAAGCTTTTGTTACATTCTTTAAGTTCGCGAAGTCGATAGTTCAATAACAGCACATCAAAATAATAACTATAATAGAATAATAATAACAGGGAATAGAAGCTTTCATAGTGAACAAAATTTAACGTTTAAATAAGCATATTTATTATGCTGAAAAGCTCTATCTTAAATATTGAAAGTTTAAAGCGTCGCTTCGGAAAATCGCCAGACCCAAAAGCTAGTCCAGTCCAAACACTCAAGCGAAAAAAACAAAAGCAAACACGCTTTTTTTTTTGCGAAAGAATGAGATAGCCCTGAGCGAAGCTGCTGCGTTGTATGCAACCGATATGTGTAAAAGAAGAAAAATATTATCGCAAATATCTGTGCGTGTATGTGTACATATTCACGCTGCTTTTCAGTTTTTTAATAATATGTGCTCTTGACAGTACGTGTGTGTATGTGTGTGTGTCTATCTGTTGTATTTTAGTAAAGGTGCGCAGGTGTTTTTTAACGCTCAATTGCGTCTATTAAAATTTTTCCTGATCCAATTTTTTAACCAAAAACAGTAAAAAAGTATTTTTCTCTGTTAAATAACACAGCTTCACATACATTTTTATATATACACACATACACTAACACATATTTATTTAATATATGCTTCATTTTACCGTTATTATTTATAAGACACACGACAAACGAAGTGCTGAAATAAAATGTCAACTTGTGTGAATGTGCTGTTGTTGTTACATTGTCAAAGACAGCTGAAGTGGCAGCGAAAGCACAACCACATGACATATGAGCACGTAAATGAACCTGTCACAAAGGTTGCCACAGCACACATGTAAAATGCATGGCATAAATACATATGTATATGTAATTGTGTTTCACATACATGCGCACATCTTGCAGTGGTCGGTCGTGCCTTGTCTTTGGCTGCGTTGCACACACGCCTGCGAACTGTTGCTGCAACTTATATCTTTCATGGCTGCTTACAGCTTCCTTATAACCTATTTACATTGAAGTTATGCGCAGCAGTGTCCTTAAGCAGTTATTTATTTACTCATACACATACTAAAAAAACACGCACACATGTACACATGCGTAACAACATATAATATATGTATACCTGCAAGTGTTGTTATTGTTTGTATTTGTTATCGGCTTTGCCACTTGAGTTGCCATTGTGTTTTACGAGTTGTACGAGTGTATGTGTGTGTGTGTGTAAATATGTGATTATACTCTCTTTTATAGTGGCTTGCATGCCTCGCATTCCGGCCAAACAGTTAAGCTTTCTACCAACAATGATAACAATAAACAACATAACAATAAAGAACAACAAAAACACTGCGTAAAGCTGACAATAACAATGACAAACAGCAGTGATAAGCGCCAGCGCCAACACCAACACACAAATATAATCAACGCCTTAAGCTCGAACGCCTTGTTTCGCATAAAAAAGGTTGACATGTATGTCAGTGTGTTAGTGTGCGTGTGCCTCAAATACCGTTTGCCCACTAGTCGCATACAGTCGTTCAACCTGGCAGCTCGACGTAACGCGCCTATAAAGTTGTCATTTCGGCATGCCTGCGTTTACACAATTTTCGCCTTTTGACCCACGCGCTTACACCCCTCACCCTGTCCCGCTAACTGCTGTTTTATGCATAACCCGTTGCGTTATCTCTGTCCTCGGGGCATTTTCATCGCTTACCTCGCATGTTTGTATGAAAATGTGTCAAATTATTGGCTTATTGAAATGCAAAGTATGATTGGGTTAAAGTTTATCGTTTTTCAATGCCATTTAGCTATCACTTCCTCGCTGCCTCTTATACCAACTGTCGGTTCTCAAACACATTTTACTGTTGATTGACTTTAATAATCCATTCAAATGTAGATACTTCGAGTTTTTTGGTTACATTTTGCTGAGCAAATAAAAGCTCACTCAAGGCTGCTTTCGCTGAATTTCCAATTGTAATTCAAATTCAGTAAAATATTGCATTTATTTAAATATTGCAAAGTTATATAATATTTTCAATATTCTAATTTTTTTCAAGATTTTGCAAGCTTTTTTTTCAAAGCTGAAGTTTCTGCAAGCTTTTTTATTTATATAAAATCCTTACGGCTATATATATATATATATATCTACTACTGTACTAGTTATGTCGCTGAAAAGAATTCTTAAAGAGTATATAAAGTTATGAAAGCTTGCGATAATATGGCAATATATGTTTGGATATATATGGATATGGTATAAATATGGAAGCATATTCATAAACTTTGAAGAAAATCATACAATTTAGGAAAGTTTTCAAACGGTTATAAAAAGCATTTTCAAAAAGTTTATTTAATTAATTAATATAATGCTAAAATCGGTAGATAATTTAAAATTCAGTTATGTTTTAAATTTAAAACATAAAGCTTTTGAAGTTTGATAGGCTCATTTAACGAAGGAATTTAGAATTAACTTTTCATTGAACTTTCGTGAAAGTTTAGTAAAAGCTTAGGAGTTAAGTGAAATGACTGTACATTGGCAGCTCTGAACTGAATGAAAGCTGCAAAGCTAGTGAAAGCTCTATAACTAAATGAAAGCTCCAAAGCTAGTGAGAGCTCTATAACTAAATGAAAGCTCCAAAGCTAGTGAGAGCTCTATAACTTTTAACAAATTCAGTAAAAGCTTAGAAGCTAAGTGAAACTTCTAAAACAAAGTAAAAGCTCCAAGACCTAATGAAAGCGCTAAAATTAATAAAAAGCTCTAAAGACCAGTATAATCCCCCAAACAGGTGAAAGACCTGAATTTTAGTTAGTAATATCAAGCAAGGAAGTGTACTCAAAATCGCCATTGCTTCACCTTAATAGCAATAAGTATTTATATCAAACGATTTATGTACCTAAAATGCATTCAACACCCCTTAGAAGCTTTTTAATAAATTGAAAAGTCATCAAACATGCAATCTAAAATTCCAATATTATTAAATACTCGAAATGAATTTACACACACCGACAGAAACGCTAAAAACGCAATGCAAGGAATACCTATGTGTATGCTGCGAACAAACCACTCCTGTCGACAGTTTTTCATGGCGTTTTTTTTTTCATAAGACACTCTAAATTTTGTGCCACTTGCTGCCATCATCAATATCGCCAACAATTATCGTAAAAACGCAAGCGTCAGATTAAGCAAAGAAATATTGAATAGAAGAAATTGACAACGACTGCGAGGAGGGAGCAGAGCGCACAAAGGCGGCACTAAGGGGAGATATTACTACTCAATTGAATTTGTACTCGTGTGCGCGCTCGTGGAACGGCAGAAAATGAGCGGAGCGGAAAAACATTCAATTGATACCCCAACAATTTATAACCACAAAATCAGCCAAATTCCGGTTGAAAGCAGCTGATGCGCCGAATTCACGAGAATGTCGTGGCGTAAAAAACAAGAAACAAGAAATGAGGCGAGGGGTAGCGTTAGTGAGCGGTTAGAGGGGGGGTGGAATTTATTTGGAAACGCTTGCAGAAGGGATAACTGCGAATGGTTTGATGTTTTTCTGTGACTGGGCTGTCGTAGGTGACGGCTGGTGGCTGCGGATGAGCCGCATATTTGGATTGTCTTCACGCCGTACGTGATAGACAGTAGTTGAGGAAATTAGATTTTTGTTTTTGGCTTTGCCGGGTGCTTCATGGTGCCTATAGAACCTACACTTTATGACAGCATGCTTTTAGCGTTTATCATCTATAGATTGCCGTTATTAGTGTGGTGTGTTTGTATGTGTTGCCTACACTAACTTTGTAAGAGACTCAAGCTGCTGCTTATGATTATGATTTTGCCAGCTAAATGCTGTTTTCCATTATATAAATATATATAACTATTTTTTGTTGCTGTCATATGGCGATACCTTTGTCAAGTTGAAACCCTCGAGTTGACTCAGCATAAAATGTTTGAGCCCCAAAGGACTTAAACTGGCACACAGACAGTTAAGTGCTAACATGGAAATGGACGGAGCCGCTGCTAGAGTATACTTACATACACACAAACATACGTCTGTGCATATGTATGCGCTCATTTATACCTACTCGTGCAGAGTTTATTAATATTTTAGCATTTCAGTCCATTGTATTAGTTGTATGCCGCCATCCTTACTTCAACCATTTTTTATTCTTGTTATTTTTGTTTGTTAGACAAATAAAATCGAGTGTATTAAACACGTTTTGCCCTTATGGGCATTTTTTACATTTCAGTGCACGCCAACAACAGCAAGCCAGCAAAGCAACCAAGCGACGGAAGTAACAAAAGACAGCCGAGTAAAGCGATCCAGGCGCTGTGGCAACAACATTGGCATGAGTTGCAAGTGCTTTAAAGATTGCCTACAACAACTGGTGGCAGTCTGCCCATACGTCAATATACATACAAACTAGTAGGAGAAGAAGCAGCAGCACGTACACATACACAGCTACATTCGCAGTTCCCTTACAGCTGAGCGGTGTGCAGTAATCACAAAAGCATTGCGGGTGGCTGCTGGCGGCAGTGTCGGTGTCGCGCAGACGACATTCAACGCAGTCACAATTATTCGTACACAGTGGACGACGGAAGCGGAAGCTGATTTCGAGCGTAAGAAACGAAGTCATCTAACGGAAGTAAGCACAAAGAAAAAGAACAGAAAAAAAAAGTGAATTAAAAAGTAAAAAATAAAAATAAAAAAATAAACGAAATTTTAAGCTGATTTCGGCATTAAAACGCGTATAAGCCAGCACGCCAAAAAGTAGGCAACAGACGCATGCCAATGGCGCAAATACTCGCCATACAACGTAAGCGTTTAATAAAGTGAATGCCATTGTCGTGGAAAATTTAATTAAAGCGCGAATAAAACGAAAATATACAAAAGTGCAGTGAAAGCAGCGACAAAGTCAGATAAAAAACAGATAAGCAAGAAGAATCGAAACGTGTACGAGTGACTTTAAAGTGTGTTAAGTAGCCTGGCAGACATAGCCGACTCTACGAAGTGCATTGAAGCGTACTGAATGCGCCGCGTTTTATTACTTAAGCGCGCGCTAAGCAAACGATAATAAAAAACCGTTCTCCGAGTGTGACTAGAAAAAAACTAAATTCAAAACAAAAAAAAAAAACAAACTTCAGTCGTTAAACTCGTTGCCAGCGACGTCAGGCGCGCAATACAACAACAAACGTCGCGTAAACGACATTCCATCGGTCAATGTAATTGAATTAAAACGTCAATGACAAGTGCAAAGTTGCGCTACAAGAAAGTGAAGAAGAAAAAGTAAAACAAAGCAAACACAAAAAAAAAAAAACAGTTGAACGCGAAGTGGCGCCGCGCTACATTTACAGTTGAGCGCAGTGTAGAGTGTGTTGAATATGCGCTTAAAACTTGATACGTCAACAATGTGACTTTTACTAGAGTCTCGTATATAAACTTTAAAGCTTAAGCAAACAATAAATCTTTCAAAGTTGTCTGTTGCAAAATCGTTATATAATTTAGGTAAGCGGATTTTGTTTATACAAAGCGCCGAGAAGTGTGCTTAATAGTGTATTGAAGTGCGGTTGCTGACGTATTAGTCTGCTTTTAGGCGTGTGATGGTTAAGAGCCAAAACATTACGCTTAAAGAAATATAGCTTCAAACCAAATATATTTATAGACATTTCTTTTTATAATGTCAAGGTTATTAACAAAATATAGCCAGCTTTTAGGCGCATAGTAAAGCTAAACTGCATTTTGATGCTTAATTTTCGTTATTTTTATTAATGTGAATATGAAAAATGCGTAAATTGGAGCTAATTTTATTTTGCGCCGTTATTTTCATTCTCAAACGCCTAGAGATATGCAATTAATTGTGTTTACAAGAATAAAGAGAAAATTTATTTAATTTTTAACAAGAAAAAGACACTCAGCAAGCAATGAAGCAATTTTGCTAACCCAGCAATTTAGTTTTAAAATGTGTTCCTTGAAGCGCCTAAAACTATGCAATCAAGCCTCTGTTCACTAAGGTTTTAATTTTATACCTACGTACACTTTCAAATGGCATTTAAGGCACGATTGCTTGGCATTTCTACGAAGTGAATTAATTAAGCGCCTAAAAGCCTACTAAATACGTACTAGGCTAACGGCACCGCCACTCGCATACACACTCGTACCGTTACAAACAGTAAAAAGACGCGCGCACTAAACACACAAACTTAAATTGTTTAATTACAGCGCAGAGGACTACGGCAATTTAACCACACAGCCGCAGCAACAACGCTGCTCAAAGCAAAGTGAATTTGCAAATCAAATCTATGACCATAAGTATGCAGTGAAAAGCAAAAGAAGGTGAAGAAGCAACGAATAAAAACAGTGTTTGAAAGTCAATTGTAATTGAACTATGGAAACGCGCAGTAAGGACGCTTGTCAAACGGCAGCTGCCGATTCCACAACAGCAATTAGTGTAAACAGTGAGAATTGTGTGGATTCGACCACAACGCAACGGCAACAACAAATCGGCGCCAACAGCGCGCCACAACAGCAGCAGCAAGTGAGCAGCAGCACCAGCACCGCGCCGAAAACGCGCTCACCAACGCCGCCAAACAACGGCAACAACAACAATGCAGCAAATAATAAGGCAAAACCAACACAGCAACAACAACAACAGCAATATCATCAATTCCGCGCGCCACAACAGTTTGTGCGCCATCGTCGCGCCACCGCTCCGGCCACGCTGCTCAACAAGAAGGGCAAAACATGGAACAAGCGACAACAGCGTGGTGCCAAACTACAGCAACAACAACTGCAACAGCATATGCTACAAGGTGGCAATGTCGTCGGTGTTGGTGGTGGCGCTGGCGTTGATGCCGTTGTAACGGTCGCGTCTGCGGCAGCCACCGCTCAAAGTAAAGCCGACCTCGAGAATATACAGAATTTCAAAAATCAGCTTGGCGGTCATCATTACTATCCGCATGCTGGCGGCGCTGTCGGCGGCGGTGGGGGACATCGTGGCGTGGGTGGCGCGAATGCTGTAGGTGGCGGTAGCAGTGTTGGCGCCGCTACTGGTGCAGCTGGTGTATCGGGCAATGGCTTGCCACCGCCTGCCATAGCTAACCTAGAAAAACTGGGTTACGGCCATGGTCACATGAAAATGTACAAAAAGCTGCTGGCGCATAGGTGAGTAGAATGGCGTTGCCACTTGCAAGTGCTGTAAGTGTAGGGCAGGCTGTAGTAATTAAGTTGTAGGAATTTATGGTTGGTTGTCGCTGGGTATTTCATGTTTGTCGGCGTAGTGGAATATTTAGAAGACATGCTGCAACTACAATTCGTAATATGTTTTTGGTTTACTTAGATACAATTATTTCTTTTAAATATATTTATTTTAATTTTCTTCTTCATTTCATATATTTTTGTTGTATTAGTTAACTAGCCAGTGTTTTGTATACTCTTTGTGTAATTATATTCGAAAATATTTTACCTAAAAAAAATGCTGAACTCCTTATTCCACCTGTATTAAACTCTTGCCGCTTTCTCCATCTACAGGGGCACCGGCGGCCATCATCATCACGTGCTTTGCGCTGGCGCGGCACACAACACCATCGGAGGCAATGCAAACACGACTTGTTGCCTCGTAAACGGCTGCAATGGCGGCCAACCAAATGGCAAGGACACTGCCAATGGCAGCACAAATAGCTCACAATCTGGCAGTGCTGCCAGCTCACTGCACTTCTGTTGCACACGATCGAAATTCTTCTTGCCGGACAAGCGAGTACGCAAAGAGACCATCATACCGCCTACCAAATTCTTACTCGGCGGCAATATTTCCGATCCGCTCAACTTGAATTCGCTGCAGAATGAAAATTCGAATGCTTCGTCGAACAATAATACGCCGGCGACCACGCCACGTCAATCGCCAATCACAACACCACCCAAAGTGGAGGTCATCATACCGCCCAATATACGTGATCCATTGCATTTGCTCGATCCCGTCGATTCCATGGAATATGAGAAGCAACTAACATCACCGATGAAGCGCAGCGGCACACGTGGCGGACACGCACACCATCACAGCGCTAAGCATCGTCATCGCAAGAATCGTAAGAGTAAGCGCCGCCGTCACGACTCTTATCAGTCATCTGTGGGTAGCGCATCTATTGGCGACAGCGACACAACCGCGCTGACCAACAGCACAATGCCCACTGAAGCTGGTAGCGTTAGCTTAACTGCGCTTTCATTAGCCACAACGCTTTCTGTCGCTTCGCTGCTAGAGAGTAGCGCGTCATTGGGAGAGAGTGTCAACAACAATGTGAGCACCGCGTGCAAAAGCGCTCCAATGGTGGTGAGCACATGCGAGAATGCGCCAGCTGGTTATCAACAGCAGCAGCAAATGCTGGAAGAGCGCGATGAGTGCGAAATTTTGGAGACCGCCGCTGAGGGCAAAACGAGCGTCACTGTGGAACATTTTGAGCGGCGAAAGAGCAAAAGCACATCGCCAGTAAAACAACAACAGCACGTCAACATTGTGAACTCAACATTCTCTGGAACACCAAACGTTGCCGGCGAAACATTGCAAAGCGCTGGAGAGCCACAAACAGCAAGTGGCACACTTGCTACAGCAACAAAGGCTGGTGTGGAGGTAGTGGGAGGCGTTGCTGCTGGTGGTGTTGGCGGCGATATTGTTATCGGTGGCGCTGGTGTGGGCGCTTTGTTGCTGCCGCGTGAGCGCGCCAATCGAGATTTGCGTTTGGAATTGAATTCAACAACATTGTCGAGTGCGAGCGGCAGCACGTGCGGCAACGCAATGGCCGGGCTGAGCGGGCACGGTGCGCTCGCTGGCATGGGCATTGGTGGCGGAAGGAAACGCAAGATAAGCGAGAGCAATAATTCGCAGAAGAACAAGGTAAGCGTGAGAGTCATATACATATAAGTATCTACGCACACACACACACACACCGACAGTTAGTGTATATGGAAATAAAAGTAAACAAAGTGGACGCTGTTGCGGCGATTAGGGAAGTGTTGGCTCGGTCGGTTAGAAGGTTAATGGGGAAATAGGGGGAGCTGATGTCAATGCGCTTCGTTGTGGCTGTTCCATTTGGTTTGCGTTTATTTTTTCGCCACGCCAATGCGAATATGTATATGTGTTGGTGAGCTATGAAGGAGTGTATTTATTATTGCTGCGAGGTAGGAGACCTGATTAATTGTTTTCATTTTGTTTACTTCGCGCCTTTTTTGTTTTCATCGACAGCTTCTTTTTGTCAGCACATCGATTCATATACAGGGTGTTTGAGTTATATTGCTTGAAAAAATATTCTGCAAATAAATTTTTGAAAATTATTTATGTTTTCGTTTAGAAATTCCACCGCGATGCCATGGATAAGATTGTTAGTCCCGTGGTACCGCAACCTGGCGCCTGGAAGCGTCCGCCGCGTCTCGCAGCTACTGGTGCGCGCAAGCCAACGCGTCGCTCAACATCAATCAGCGAAACAGATGTGCTAAGCCCAGCGGATGAAGCCAAATCGTTACTTAGCGAAGGTAAACCAATTAATTACGAAAATTAAATGCACTACTAAAGCTCCCCTTCATTTACAGCTGATATGTTGCGCGTTGAGACGCCTGACTTCAGTAAACTCGAAACAATTTCCGAAGTGGGACTCGCCAGCCCATTAAGCACCACCTCCGGCGCCACCTCGGTTGCTGCGGGCGAACAAGAGTCGTTGATGGACACAAGCGGCGGAGAGAATTCCACCACAATGCCGAGCGAGGATGGAATAACGGCTGTCTCCGCTGCAGCAAAAAGCAGCGCAAATGTCTCAGCCAGCTCGACTGCTATTATGCCGCTAACAAAAATGCCGAACTTCCGTGCCGACGGCGTTAAGTATCAGTATGGCAATTACGATCGCTACGTGGGACTGCGTCACCTCAACGAGCTGGTGGATGTGCGGCTGCAAGTGTTTCAGCGTCACTTGGAACTCTTCCAAAATAAAGACATACTGGATATCGGTTGCAATGTGGGTCATATGACAATCACAGTGGCGCGCAACTTTGCGCCCAAATCCATATTGGGCATCGATATCGATAGAAAGTTGGTAGCACGTGCGCGACACAATCTCGGCTTATACGTGCTCATACCGCCAGAGTCTGCGGTCAAGCCGTCGACAAGCACGCCATTAAATAAAGCGTCGGATGTGGTCGCCGGATGTGTTAAAAAGGAAGACCAAAAAACTGCGGTGAAAGAAGAGAAGTTGACTACCGGTAGCGTTGTGGGCAAAATAAAGACAGAAACTGCCAGCACAAAAGACACTGCCAACGCCGAGAGTGGCAAAGCAGCAGCCACCTCAGCTGACGCCAGCACAAAAAGAGCGAAAAAGACGCGTCGTCGCAAAAAGCACGTGTCGTCGCAACAGCAGGCACAACAACAACTACAACATTATCCACAATTCCATCACCACCATCATCATCATCATCATCATCACCATCATATGCATCACATGCACCATCATCATCACAATCATTACCAACAACAACAACTGCAAGCATTGCATGTACCTGCCACTGATTTATTTCCCGTGTCATTTCCACTGTCATATGGTGGCATACCAACAGTCACAGCTGCCGCCGCTAACGCGCACGACACACATTCGCCCAGCGCGTCCACCAATACGCCTGGCCATGGTAGTAATGCCACACCGGCCAGCAGTGGCGGCGCCGCAAATCGTAAGCGTAAAAATGACTTTCCACGCAACGTTTTCTTTCGTCATCAGAATTATGTGTTGGAAGACGAGGCGCAGCTGGCAAATGACACACAGCAATATGATCTCATACTGTGTTTATCGGTGACCAAGTGGATACACTTGAATTTCGGCGATGCCGGCCTGAAGTTGGCCTTCAAACGAATGTTCAACCAGCTGCGACCTGGAGGCAAGCTGATACTGGAGGCGCAGAATTGGGCAAGCTACAAGAAGAAGAAGAATTTGACGGTAAGTTCGATGCAAGTTCAAACAAATCGATACAGCAAATTTTACAGTTATTGATTTTTTCCAATTTGTACAACTTTCATTTATTTCTGCAGCCCGAAATTTACAACAACTACCGCAACATTGAGTTCTTTCCCAACAAATTTCACGAGTATTTACTCAGCTCTGAGGTCGGCTTCAGTCACAGCTACACGCTGGGTGTGCCGCGGCACTTAAGCAAAGGCTTTTGTCGCCCAATACAGGTATGTATGTGTGCCTGTGTGTGCTTTGCATATCGTTTTAATTTACAAAGAATGACACACAACGTACTCCAATTGCAGTTGTACGCTAAAGGCGACTACACACCGAACCATGTACGCTGGAGTGATGCCTACTACCCACAGACACCGTTTGAAGCTTATCGTGGCATTTACGCCACAATGCCACCACGTCCTGCGGGTCTAGCCACGTATGCCATGTCATCGACACGCAGTCAGGCATATGATACGCCGCACTACACGGGTGGCACCTCCGGCCCGTATAGCTGCCGTCAAACACCCATGTACCAGCCCATTTACAATCCACTGGAGACCGATTCCTACTTACCCTCCTACGATATGGAATACCTAAACCACATGTATGTGTTTGCCTCACCGCTCTATCAGACCGTGTGGTCGCCACCCGCCAGCTTGCGTAACAGCTCTTCACACACGCCCGTCTTCGGTAGCGTACGCGAGGCCGAATTGGATGGTGATGGGGGCGGTAGTGGTGGCGGCGGTAGTTATCATCGTCACGTATATCCACCAAATGAAGATACATCATCGCCAAATGCGAATACCGGCGGTGCTTTCAGCTCGATACGCGATGCGGATACGGATGATTCGAATCAGTTGCCAGCTGGTCGCATGCAACATGTGTATGCGACGAATTGTGGTGAGAGTTCATCGTCGCCGCAGGTGCAGCACAACAACGATTCGGATGCGTTGGTGGAGGAGGCTCTGTCGTTGGACGATGAGCAGCACGTAACGCAGCCGGTGGCGGTTGCGGGCAGCGGCGGTAGTGCGAATGTTGTGAGCGCTACCAATGGCGAGTTGTCAGGCGCAGGTGGTGGTGCTCTTGGACCAGAAGCCAGTCAGCATTACTGTGATTTAAATGATGCTTAAGATTATTATTTGTTTTTTGTTTTGGTCTAAATTTCGGCGAATTAGCGTAAAATGTGTGAAGCCAGTGAGCAATGTATAAAAGTTTTGTAATGTATGCAACTGTTTTGAGCGAGAAATACGCGTTGCAGTAGGCATTAGTTGACAGCATGCGTAAGCCTAAGGCACACGCCGCTTTAAAGACGCTTATGAAAAATATACAGATATAGGAATATTCATAATATTGGCAGACGAAGAAACACGCAAGGTAAATAATCAAAAAAGATACACGCTCGTGAAGCATTTAACGAGAGTATCGACAGAATTTGTGCGATATGTCGCATTTTCGAAAAAATGTGCGTATATTTGAAAAAATGTTCGTATTTTCGAAATTTTTTTCATATATTCGAAAAAATGTGCGTATATTTGAAAATATGTTCGTTTATTAGAAGAATTGTTCTTATATTCAAAATTTTTTTCATATATTCGAACAAAATTTCATATATTCGTAAAAACTTTTATATATTCGAAAAATGTTCTTATATTCGAAATTTTTTTCATATATTCGTAAAAATGTTAGTATGTTCGAAAATAGTTTTTCTTCATTCAAAAATACTTGAAAAAAAACGGCAAGCAAGTTGAGGCGAAAAAAAGCAGTAAAAAAATCGAAAATGTTTATAAAATATACAAATATAGTGTACTAATTAGTTTTAGCCAAAAAAGAAAGTCGTTATTAGTGTTGATTTAAATTAGTAATAATACAGGCAAAAATATATTTATATATATATACAAGTATATATTTGTTTATGCAGTCTTGAGTCATGCATAGGCCGTGTGGGCGCTACTTATTGGAAGTACACAAAGCTATATATTTCTGTTTTTAGTATAAAATTTTAACAAAAGCATTCGTTTTTTAATTTAAAAAAAATGATTAAGTAAATGCTATAAAATAAATCTATTTAGAAAAATCGTAAACCCATGTGCTACTATCCAAGTTTGTTGACAATTTTATTACAGCTATGCTTTTTAGTTAAAAACTACAATTTCAAGAAGTAGCGCCGCTGCACGCTTATTGCGCATGACTGTATTCGTAAAATATTATACTAAGAAATATTTTTAGCAAAAATATATTAGCCTAGTGTTAAACTTACTTGTATCTTATCGATTATAGTCATAATTATTTATAAATAACAAAATATTTATATGTAACACATAACTATTTGTAGATTTTATTTTTAGTGTATATTTTTCGCATATTTATATACCGCAACAGAAAAGAGAAATTTAAGAATTAACAAGCAAAAGAAAAACAAAAAACAGTAACTTGCATATACGTAAATATATTTAGCAGATATTTGTAGCAATTAACCCAACTAAAGAGAATCAAAAAACGATGGAAAAAATAATTGCCAATCACCAGCAAGCTGGGCAAACGGGCAGCAGCGTTGACGTTATGCCTTAATTGTAGAAATGTGTATATTTAATAAAGCCAAAACATTTCGAAGTTAAGTTTTCCTTTTACATAAGCGACAAGCACAAGTTAAACTTGCAAACAAAAAAAATTTGAGCTGTTTTAGATTATTTGCGTTATGTCGAAATTGCAAAACATTGCTGACGCTGCGCGCTGCCTGTTGCTGCGTCACAAACTTATGCGTAACGTAACAAAAACAAGGAAATATTAAGCTAAACACAAATTGAAAAGCAAATTTAATGTCTAATAGAAAGCTTTTAGAAGAAGAAGAGGAAAACAAAAGTTAATATTTTTGACGCTTACAAAATGCTGCGGCAATAGTGTGTAGAAGTGCGCGTATGTGTAGTAGTGTAGTGTTTTTTTTGAGGCCAACTTATAAACCGTTATGTTTTTTTTTAACTAATAATTTTAATATTTTAACTAATGCGTCGCATAAATATTTAAAATAAAAAAAATGTTGTAAATCAAATGAAATCAAACCCTACAAAAAAAAAATATGAATTTAATATTAGTATGCATATTAATATAAAGTATAAATATTTAAAATATTTTACGCATATAAAAATGTAAAATGAAATTAAATTACACTTATGAAGATGATTAAAAAGTAAAAATGTAATAATATATACATAAAAAACTTAATGAGAAAGCATAAAATAAAACAGTGAATTTTCGAATAAAACAACTGTGTTTCATATTCAAAAAAAAAAAAGAAAAATTTATAGCAATGAAAAAAATATATATAAAATATTAAAATTTTAGTAGAACACAGATTTAGTTACAGAAAAGGTGGATGGCCAGCATACAGACAGTTTGTATCCAAAGACGGTGGGTGTTATTGATGCATTATGTTGCATTATTGTATTTTATATGTTGTTGTTATTGAGCATTAGAAGCTTTAATCACGATTTTAGAGATGTTATTTGCAAATAGTTTTCTATTATTTAAATTAAGGGGCACAACTATTGTGACTGCCTAGAAAAACATCGATTTTTGGGATTAAAAAAAATACTACATCGATTGTTTTGAAATTTTCAGAGTATATTTATACATGTTTCAGGAATACAGAGTGAAATTTTTGAAAATAAAAATTTAAACGTTCTTTAAGTTATACGAAATTTTCGAAGGTGCTAAATAAAAGGACCTCCACTGCTGCGATGATTGCGGCCTTTTTCGTGGATGAAACCTAGAAATAAAAAATTAACAATTCTCGTTAAACTAGAAGATATTGTCCGTACAAGTACCTACGATAAAAAAAAGTTATGAAAAATTTACAAAATGGTGGCGTTTCAAAAAAGAAGTTAAATTTTACCCCAAATTTTGGTAGATTTTTGATCAGATCAAAAAACCGATAGGCTCTGTATGTAGAATTATGTATATACAGAGCAGGCAGAAAAAAATTTCATTATGATCGCATCATTTGTCTTCGAGTTATCACTGCCGCAAATTCGAAAAATGCTGTTTCGAGAAAAACGCCTTTGAAGAGATACTGATTGCCTGCAATAACTATTTTGACGGCTACACTTAAACTGTAACTCAGAAACTAAGTGATAAATCGATTTAAAATTTTACTATGTAATTTTTAAAAGTATAAACTATCGAAATATCACACTAGGTGTGCCCTTTCATTTATTTCAATATAAGTATTGATAAATGATATGAAATATTAAAATTTTGTATCAAAAATTATTTTATTTGTATGACAATAGCCGTACATTTTTTTCTGCTCTAATTAGCATGCGGTTAATTTTTCATAATATTTATATTATTTTGTTTTTATAAATTTTTGATTATTGTATATTTTATCTTTTTTTAAAAAAAATTTTTGATTATTGTATATTTATTTATTTTTTTTAATAAATTTTTGATTATTGTATATATATTTTTTTTTAAATAAATTTTTGATTATTAAATTTAATTAAAAAATTAAAAATTTTATTACTATTTCATACATTTTTCATACTGTATTTACGATTTACTATCAAAACCGCTATCTATATCATATTTGATTATATATTTGCTTTTCCATATCTTGCCTCTACCTGACTGTAATGTCAACGCTTATGCTATCTTCGGTTAGTCTTGTTTTGCTGGTGCCATAAATTGTGTACGAAAATATTAATTAAGTGAAATTTGCTTATAATTACATAATTGAAGGTGACTCATACGCCGTGTTGGCTCACCGAATTATTTTGAATTGTTGGAGCTGTGAAATTTTTTCTATTCAATATTTTATTTTCGGTAGAAAACTGTTTGTAGACAGCTTAAAATAAATTTTAAATAAATTTTGTTATACAAATTAATATAGTGTAATTGTTACCGATCTATGTAGCATGGATATAAGCTATATTTTTTTGAATATACTATATTGAAGCTATAAAACGTATTTTCACTCAGAAGAAAACCGAACGTTCTAGCCGATTCATTTGGGCTCTCATATGTATTTAATCAGCTATAGAAAGAGAGAAGGTGGGTGAGAAAAAATAAGAATTAATTAATTTTTACCTAAATTTTTTAATTATAAGTTTGTTCTGTTAACAACTACACGCTAGAAATTATGAAAATCAAATAATTCTGGTTTTTTATTAAATAGATAAATATTTGATTATTTTCGTTTAAAACTGCAGTACCTAACAAAAAAAATATTTGAAATGTTATTTTTCAGTTATTATATTATTTATTTATATATCTACTTTAACTTCACAAAAAGTACCAGCTGATCAAAAGTGACCCTTGAAATAGCTGAAAATGTAGTTTTTTTTGTCAGTCCGGGTCAAATTTGATATGCAATTTATTTTATGAATAATCGCCAAAAATGTTACAAACTCTTTAATTTCTATTTTTGTTTTTATTATTTAATCTATCTTTACTTTTTGTAAAATTTAAAATTTCAAAACTTGACCTTGACTTCTGCTTTCATGCACATACATGTCTCTATCTGGCAATGCTGTAACCCCAGCACTGATCCCACTTGACATCCGCTGTCAAAGTTACTTGTATTTTGTATATTTATTTACCCAATTGTTTATATGTATGTTTCTGTAAAGCTAGCGCCAGCCGGCGAATTTCAGTGCAAAAAGTACGCGAAAACGGACATAAAAGCGAAACAAATCCAAACTAAAGCAGTAAAGTAACTTGATTTATGTATTAAGTGTGAGAAAAAGTTTGCAGAAACTAATCAAAATAAATAAAGACGAGTATGTGCGCCTGTATGCGACCGAGAATTGTCTCTTAACACGGAAGTCGTATAAAATTATGTTTTGATGGAATAATATATTTACATATATATGCAGATATACATATATGTATGTGTGTATGCATAATATAGCTTTAGGATAAAATAATTTTATTACTTTAATTAAGTTTATGCGATAATTGAGCTTTGGCGCTGCCAGGCCTGTGAGAAGCCACTCCATAAGGCTCAAAACAACGCTGAAAATCGATATGAGTTGTAAAACTCTAAGTCACTTTGGTATAGCATATAAAAACCGCTGTTTTAAGTAAATTTACTTGAATAACTTTGAGTACATGCGATATCGGCATGGGCTCAGCTGTTGACGTCAAATGTTAAACGATAAAGTCGACTTTCGGAAACATGAAATAAATCGTCAATGATCGTAATCGTAATTTACTGGAAAACGGCATTTAATTTGCTGGCAGTAAAATCTCGTAAAAAAGTAATCTAATCAACAAAGCTTCAAAATCGCTGCTATCTAAGTAGATACATATGTTCGGTCACATACTGTAATAAAAACGCCTCTTTTATACTCGTAAGTATTGCTATCATAATGTGTGATATGTGTATCGTAAAAGTGTACACATATACATGCATATCTCTATAATTCCTAATGATACATGATCGTCTAGTATTTTTGTCGGTGTTCTTCTATTGTAAGTGGTTAGCTTGGCATTATACAAAAAAACGTTTGCATATTTTGTCGCTTCTTGTCTCTTAAGTATTACGTATACCTACATAAATATGTATACGTAGGTTTCTAATCACATATATGTATGTACATATGTTTCTATATACTTAATTGATAGAGCTCTCCATCTCAGTTCATTTCAATGTTAACTTTCAGCCTATTTTTCCTTTCAAATTCGTTTGCGTCAAAAATAGTGTTTCTTCGCTGTTTTTTAGTGTAAATAGAGTTTGAGGGTCTGTAGGAATACCGAAAAGACATAGTAGCCGTAAAAATTTGACAGCTTGAATTTGGCAAAAAACGAAGTGCAATTCTCTTATTCTTTCGAGCCACATTTTCCTTAATTTGTTGTGTGTTTCGAGTGAATACATATTTCGTCATAAGACATCAGGAACCGGTGCTCTTAGATTGGCCTTCTTTTGTCAAAAAACATGACACTAGTGACGGTTTGTCTGGAAATCCGATTGACACAGTTCTTCAATGTATAGCTTAGTAGTTTTCTAGTCATATTTTTTGCACTATTTAGTATAATTTCCAATTAGTAACTTATTGCAACCTAAATTTCTTAAAAAAAAAATTTAAAAAATATCAATAAAGCCAAAAGAGGGCTTGCTTTGTTATCTTTCCACTTTTACATAGAAATATTAATACTAGAACCTTAGGATGTCTAGCATACAGTAAAAGCCGCTTAAGTGCCCCCGCATAAGCACCGCAACCGCTTAAGTAACCAACATTTTTGGGCTTTTTCGTAAGAGTACTTAATCGGACTCTTAAGTACCCTACCCGCCAAAATACCTTAAAAAGCTGGGGTTTTTCGTGAGCGTTTTATACGTCGATACAATTGTACATATATTAATGATTTTTTATTTTTGCTACCATTATTACAGTTCGTGACTTTGTAGTTTTTGCTTTCTGTTTTATTTGGTACTTAATGTTAAACATCACTGAAAATTTTAAAATAATTATCGTATACAATAGGGTGAAGCAAAAAAGGAATTTTTTTTGCTTAGCCTGAAGGTAAAATTTGTAAATTATAAAAAAAGAATATTTTTGGAAAAAAAGTAATTTTTTTTTAACATTTAAAGGCCCACTCATTTTTAAAGTAAATTTCGAGTTAAAATTTTTATTTCGTAAACAATTTTTGATAAGTGTTCTAGAAGCTGTGGAGAGTCCTCTTTCTGACTAATTGAAAGTTATCAACTTAAATAAATTTTTTGTGGTCATTAGAGTTTTAAAAAAAGTCTTAAATGACAACATGCTTTCGTGCTAAGCGTTAAAATGTATTTTGAGTCAAAACCCTTCAAATTCGGTAATTTTTATATAAACGTGAAGAGTTTAATTCGAAATTTACTTTAAAAGTCCAAAAAATGTTTTTTTCTTCGCTCCACCCTAATATACGATGTTGTTTTTCCCTAAAAAATTCCTACTGGGTCATAATTATTAGTGCCAAAACTTTCTACTGATCACTTGCCTTTGATGTTGCCATCTAGTGTGCGTATGTATATGTAAGTACATGTGTATATCTCAGATAAATTTATTTTCAGTCCAATATCTTCAAATCTAAATTTACAGATTCTCAAATATATTATACATACATACACATATAGTTGTATATATTAAAAACTCACTCACTCGCTATTAGGTATGTATACTATAGGCACTTCATTGAATTGATGCACTCAGTCAATCCCGTCGTTTGTGACCAAGTCAATCAGGCATTTATGAGTAAACAAACCACAGCGGTCAGACAAGCCTCCACATCACTCAGTTTTCCAGGCACAAACCAAGCTCATAAATATTTACACATAAGTACATACATACATACAGCTATACAGTATACATATGTACATGCAAACATATTTTTAAAAATTTTCAATTTGTGTGACCATGTGAGTGCCTCGCGCTGAAGCTGTGCGCCCAGTCACTTGTGAACTCATCGAGTTACAACTTCGTTTGCTGCGAAGGTGTTGCAGCTTTTTCGTTCGAGGCTTCACTATAGCTTGGTGCTGTGATTATTATCTTTTTGCGTGGAGTTCGAAAAGCCGTGCTTTTGGCTGATGTCAAGGCAAACACTCATATACTTATGTATGTATGTATATGTAAATATGTAGTGCATTGAGTTGAAGCTTAAAATTCAACTCCTCAGTGTTTATTCGATATCGGTGTTAAGCGTTAGTGTGGCAAGCGTGCGCGTGAATCACTCGCTAATATTGGTTTTGTGTGTGCATGTAAAGTGGCGAACATTATATTTGAAAGCACTGTCTTTGTTATTTGCGCATTTAAAGTGGCAATGTACGCCGAGTTTTAAGCGAAAGAAATCATTTTTAAGCGAAACAAATAAAGTGACTCAAGTGTTGCTGTGATAAAATATATATATGAAATTTATTTTCATATTTACAGCATAAAGTGTTTAAAGTTGCGCTGTGCGGGCTTAAACGCAACAAGCTCACAGTATTCTCGTGAAACCTGGAAAGTAACACATAGCGTGTCATTACTTCCAAAATGTGGCAAATTACTTGCACACAAAAAGCTCTAAATTACACAAAAACAAGCAAATAAGCAACAAGTTGTTTAATACAACAAAGCATACTATTTATTTATTTATTTTTTTGCTGAAAACTGCTTAGTGTTCAAAGCAACTGCTCGCGCTCAAAACCGCTTTGCGCAACTTCGCTCAACTCTCCCAGAAAACAGCGCTCAAATCGGCGCGCAAACATCACGCGGCAACAACAACAACAGCGCAGTGCCACATAGTGCCACAGTGTGGTGGTTTAGTGCTACACTTTGCATTTCGCATTTGGCATTATTTACCTGATCTGTATAGCAGTTTTTCTAATGTAAGTTGTACTCTGGCCAATCACGCAGCTTATGCCAATTAGTTTTTAAGTTTTGTCTGTTTTTGTTATTGACTTTCATAGAAAATCATATGTAATTATATTAGCTTGCGTATTGATTGCTTTTCACGCTAAACGCATTTATAATGAAGCTTTAATATTAAAATAAATATTTCCAGTAAAAGCAAGACGTAGCAGTTTAACGAGAAGCAAGAGAAAATAAATTGCTTCTCATTATTTATTTGTATTTTGTAAAGCGGTTTTACATAAGCTTTGATTATAGATAATTAAACTTGAAATGAATGCAATTTTCGCATTTATTATGAAAAAAGTAAGGCGAACCAGAATTCTGAAAGAACCGGAGCATTAGAACACCTTTAGGAATTAAAGTTGTGTAAAGTATTTGCCAATATACATTAGGGTGGCACGGAAACTTATTTTTTTGCTTAGCCTGAGGGTAAAATCTGTGGATTATAAAAAAGAAAATTTTTGAACAAAAAAAGCAAAAAAAAAAATTTCCGTGCCACCCTAATGTATATTTTTTTTGTCCAAAAAAATTTTTTTTAACATCTCAGTTTTAAAGTAAATTTCGAGTTGAAATTGTTTTTGGACAAGAAAAAATTATTTTTGGTTTAAACTCTTTACATTTATATAAAAATTAAGGAATGTGACGATTTTTGACTCAAAATTTATTTTTACGCTTAAGGAAAGCATGTGGACAAGATAGCATATTCTTTACTCAAATTTGCCCTTACTTTGACAGACAATCGGATATCTATCACGACTAGTTTAAGTGCATACAAACAACCGCTAGGTGAATAAAACTATTTTACCGCGTGCAACATGTTGCCAGAGTTTAAAAATGACTTCAAAGACATTTTTGAGCTTATAAATATATGATTTATACATATGTAGATACATATTCACATGCAAATACATGCGTCAGCATGAAATTCGACTGAGCTATAGACGGTAGCATATATATGTTAAAAATATCGAAAAATAAATAAATAAAAATACACGCACATACATATCTACAAAAATATGTTTGAGTGCACAATCACAAGGCATTAACCTAGACCGCCCTCCACTGATTTTATTTCTAAGTCTCTTTGCTCACAGTTTTCTTTAGAAATATGCTTTTGTTTTGTTATTTTTCTTCTTTCATTGTACATTAATTGCTTATTAATTTTGTATTTATTTATGCACGCATATTTGTCTCTGTACTCGGCGTCGTTGATTTCGCTCTGCCTTAATGCCTTTATTCATTTATTTAATTTGTTATTCGCGTCGTTGGTATTGAATACTTAGTTGCTAGACTAATACTGATTGCGCTCACGTTTTTGGCCGACCTGGTAGGAAAAATTGATAGTGTTATAAGACTTTCTGGTAATGTACCGGGTTGCATATTATTTATTTTGGAAGTTTTCATGAACGAAAAATTGTTAAAAATCTATTTTTCAAATATATTTAATATTACGTTATAAATATATTTAATATTACTAATTTTAGATATTTTCAACGAAAAAAAATTTAAATCTATTTTTCAAAAATTAAACGTTAAAAAACCGCGAACTATCAAGCTTCTGCCACGGCTTTTAGTCACAGGAATGCTCAATACTTTCTTAACTTGGAAATATAAAACATTTTATATAAACATTTTCTTGGAAGAATCTAAAAATTTTACAAATAGATTGAATTTGTTGGGAAAATTCAAAAATCAGCTATAACTAAGTATCACCATATTAAATAAATACCAGTTAATTTTTAATGCCAAAAAATAAATAAGTAATTTTTATTTAAAAATGTATCGTATTTATGTCTTAAATTTAAACATTTCTATTAAATTTGTTACACCCTGTATGCATTGATGTACATATGTAAGTCTACACGCGACGTGTTTCTTGTACAAAGTATTGCTATGCGATTAAATCTAGTGCCAACTAACACACGCACATTTATATCTAATGATATAATAACTTTTTACTTTTTTACTTGTGTTTAATTACGTCAAAAATGTGACCCTCAAAAATTCCGTTAGTCACAAACTAATCGACTGCTTACTAATCACTAGGTTGTAATTATATTGTTCTTGCACTCACTGTGGCCAAATCACTAGACACTTAAGTAAATATGGAAGGGTTTGCTGCTTCCATTTACATGCGTAGACGTGGGTCACTAATCCATATTATTTGGCTGAAATTTTGACAAGTATAAGTTTTCTAAAAATATTTTATAAATATACAAAGTTAAATATGTATATGTAAATACATATGTTATGTCACCTTTGACTCTTGACCTCTATAACCGTTAGTTCACGAACTTGTCTCACGTGTCGTTTCGTCTTTATCTGTGTTAATGTTACCTTGAATCACAAATAATCTTCTCATCAATGACTTAGTAAGAATGAAAATGTGTAGAAATATAACAGTAATAAATGTGGTTACGAAGTAGTTCAAAATGTACTAGTTCGGTGTTGGAAAAATTTAATTATTTTAGTGATTTCCTTGAATCAAAAATCAGCTTCTCATCAATGAAATAGTAAGAATGAAAATGTGTAGAAATATAACAGTAATATATGTGGATACGAACTAGTTCAAAATATACTAGTTCTGTTTTAGAAAAAATCAATTTTTTTTAGTAATTTCCTAAGAGCTGCTGCAGTTTTAATATAATATTACAGTAATTAGAAACTAGTTACCAACTAGTTTAAAAAAAGTCTAGTTTAATTTGACTGAATCTTTTAATTATAATATGTATAATAATGACCGAAGTAACGATAGTGTTCAAGAATTTTTTATAAAGTTTATTTATTTATTAATTTAAAAAAAATGTAACCAATTCAAACGGGTTTGAAACTAGTCCAAAATATACTAGTTCCAGTTGAGAAAAAAAGCTTCAATTTTAAGTTTAAGTTTGTAAATAAAATAATAATTTTTTTCATTATATTTTTCGAGAAATATTTGAAAAATTAAGTGAAGTAAAGCTAGAAGATTTAAGAGTTTTGGTTTCACACTGCTTATATAAAGTGATTACGTACATATTTTATATATCCACAACAGTGTAATATTTTTCAATACAAAAATTCAACCTCATTTATAAAAACGTCATTGCCACTGGGCGCGTCGATGTTGGAGTTCAAAAGTTTGTAAAAAAAAATTGTAGACACTCTAATAAAAATAAAAAAGTTCAACGTTTTTGTCGCATACTTACATATCAGAATGTCAATATTTACTGATAACGTTGTCAGCTTTTTGGGTGCGTTATTTTCCCTAACTACATACAATTCACATACATATGCCTTGTTTTGATTGTTTTTATGTAGTTTTTTTATTATCACATTTTATGGCTTCACCTGTCATAAAATAATTTCGCTAATGTCTTTCTAACATGTTTTAGTGATTTTTCATTAGATGACGAGATTTTATTTTCGAGCAACAAATTTATCAGGAAAAGAACCTTAAACTTGCCTTGCAGAGTGTAGATTTTATTACTTTTTTTTATTATTATTTACCAAATATTCTTTTATTATTTAATTAGCAAACAGTTGCCGCATAAATATATGTATATAAAAATCGTCCGCTTACACTTTGTCTGTCTCGCCATACACTCACCTTGCTGACCGTTTCTTTTGAATTTTAATAACCTCAAGCACGCTATTTTACAACTTTCGCTCTTCGCTTACGTCACATTCTTCTTTTAATTCTATGCTGTCTTGGAACACACCCTCACCGTTTCCGTTTTCAACACAAACCAGCTCCGCAGCCAGTTAGCGAGCTTTAGTTTTAATTACTCTCACGCAAACAATATAAAGTAATAAGAAACCGTTGCAAAGAAATTGAAACTAACGCAAGAAACAAGAAAACAGTAATCAGAAGAAAAAAGTACAAAAGTCTAAGTTCGTTCGTGCGAACGAGTGCTTTAAGCCCATGACTTATTGAGGCTTAGTACTAAAAGCAACCGTGTTTCAGCAACAAGAACAGTATATCGAAGTTTTTTTGTACCACAGCTGGCGCTGAGCTCAATATATTTTGAAGAAGAACATTTGTTAGCAGATCGGTTTCATAGGCAGTGTTTATTTTATCGATTACAGGAAGGAAAGTGTTTGACCAACATTTGATTCGAGAAATCGCCTATAGATTCAATATTAATTCTAGGTTTTTATATGAAATCTACTGAGTTTTTGAGAAATTTCACAAGCTGAAGTCTATATATAACTTTCTTTCGAGATCGATCACTACAATGCGCATACTTTAAAACCCAAAATTTGAAATTAATGTTATATACAAGTATAGGTTAGAAAATGAGGTTAAGAATTTTTGAAAGTAAGTTTTAATGAATTTATACTCTAAACTTTACCTTATAAAACTTGCAAACCGAAAAATCTCATTTCTTGATATATGGTCTACGGCCATGTTTCCAATTTGAACACAAGCTTTGAGTTAGGAGGTTAAGAAATGGGCATTAGAAGTGTCCACAGCTATCTTGATCAAAAAAAAAAAAAATCGAGGTTAAATATAACTGTATACTACAAGCAGCTGAGGTCAGACAAGGCAGCTATCTCAACAATCAGCGAAATACCTACCATATTCGTGTGTTGGGTATAAGTAACGAAAGTCTAAATATAAATATGAAAGCAGAATCGGTAAAGAAGCTATCAACGCACACACACGCACAACACATAGAAAACAAGAATAATGACTTCGGACACAGAAGACAAAGTGTAGTTAGAAGAACAGCAGTAACAACTCAAACAAAACTAGGCAAACAACTGAGCGAAAAACAACAACAAAAACACGTAAATTAACTAACTAAAACACCGTTAGCGTGTTGAGCGCATATTTTTATTTTATCTAACATTTTTATTTTTTCTCACTCTATATATGTATATATGTATATATATATATTTTTCTTGATATTTACAGCTTTATTGCTAAGCACTGCATTTATTACTATCATTCTTATTATTACAGTTATTTACTAAATATTTCTCTTCGGCTCATAGTGCCGTTTCGAAATGCTGTAAGCCACTCGTCGTTGTCGCCTTTTGTTATCAGTGCTTCAATTGTTGTTTTGTTGTTGTTGTCATACACGCTATTGATATCGCTTTGTGTTCCTAAATGTATTCGCCGTCTAGTCGCCCGCTTTATCAACTCGCTGTTGTCCGCAAACACCGGCACTGAAGCTCCAACAACGCCAACACCGTACCGACCTTCACCTCGCATGCCTTCGGGCGCTGCTCCACTTTGCTCAACGCTCGTCGCTTGCCATTTTTTCGAGTTGGCCGTTTTCATTTCGTTAACATGCGCTTACGCACACACACACACACACACACAAATGTGCGAGCACTTCGCCATTTCGGCAACACCAGCCAACTTCGTGTGTCTGCGTATTGTTGACTCGCCGCTTTTAACCGTTTTTAAGCATTTAGTTAATATTATTAACCAAAGTGTCGTTGACGTGTGCGGTTCGTGTGCTCAGACGCCAACTAAGTGGCAGGTGGTAGGCCAGTTAGTCAGTGTTTTTGGTCAAAACAACAATTTCTGCAAGTCAAAGTGTGTGTGTAAATTGTACTATACTTAGTTGTTGTTATTGCTTTAGCATAATAAATAAAGCAATAGTTAGTTAATGCTGGCAAACGTAGCACCCGGAGAGTATGAGTGCTCTCCATCTCTCTCTCGCTCGCTATCTTGACTTCGGCGCGCACACACACACTAACGGCTGCGCGCAGTCGGTGCAACGCTGCGGATGTGTAACCAAATACTACAATTTAGTAATAACAATTACGCGCTGTCGTTTGTGTCAGGTCGCGAGGCGTCTAAAGTGTCAACGCTTGGCTACGTGGTTTGGCCTCTTCGCTTTACGGTTAACTGTGCTTGTAAAACGAAGAGTGCGCTTAACGCAAATACGCTCATAGCGGCTACACGCGTGCTCCAACAAGTGTGTGTCAAATTCAAAAACTAAAAAAAAATTCAAAATTGTTTGTCAACCTTCAAAGTGGGCTAATGCCTGCTTGCGCTAGAGCGCACGAGAGTCAGCCCACAAACATTAATTGGAGTAGAGTTGGCATTCCACGAGTGATTTACTTTTTCTTTGTAATCAGTGTTTTTTTACCAACTCATCAGCTTGAGCTGCTCATTTGTGCCACGAAAGTGTCGGTGTGCCGTGTAACAAAGAAATTTCGCAGTCTAAACAAGTGGCGGCTGCTCAATTAAAAGAAAGTTGGTGGCCGCATGAAAGGCGAAATGTACGAGATTGCAGCAACCAGTTGTGTGAAAATATAAATATGCGCAATATTAGCTAGAAATGTGGCGTAGAAAGTGCAGAAAAAAAACAATTTGTTAATGCAAAAAGCTCTCAAAGTAATGAGAAATGAGGAAGAAATCAAAATGCAAAGCAAATAAGTAAAATATGGATTACATTAAAATTTTTAGTCAAAGTAAACAATATAGAAAACGCAAACAAAGCAAAGAGTACAATAAGCGCAAAACAACGTAGACAAAAGTATTGTATGAACATAACTGGTAATAATAAATATAATGATATGAATGTGAATAAATAATCGAGCTTAAGTCGTGTTAAGACTGCGCTGTGTTAATGCTACAAACGTTTGAACAGTTTCCAACCAAAACGGTTTTTTTTGCTTCTCTTCCAACAGTTTGCGATAAAAAGTTGTCAAATTCTTAACTGCTGAGAACACAAACGTGGTTTTAGTCACAAAAAAAAACAAAAAAAAAAATAAAAAAAATATAAAAAATATATACAAAAATAAAAATTAAAAAAAAGCGATTTCCGCAAAATTACGCCGAATTGAGTTTGGCTGTTAGGTCTTGCAGGCACAATTTTGCGTTTATACACGATTTGGCAGTCCAAAACAAGAAACCAAAGTTTATTGTGACATGTTTTAAGAAAAAATTATTGAAACAAAGTGAGCATTGGCACGTTTTGTACGCAAAACATTGAATTAACAAAATTTTAAAAAATTTAAAAAAATGGCTGCGTAATGAAACGTGAAAAATCACTTAAACAGCTGTTGTGCTGATTTTAGACTTTTTGGACGAGTTTATTGCATACTTAAAGGGTGTTTCATTTGGCGCATGCCGCGTTATATTTGTGAAGCTTAAAATAATATTTTTTTAGTTTTAATACCAGCCCTTTAGTACTAAAATATTTATATATTTTCGATTTGAAGATCCAAAGACCTTCTATAAAGTTTAGTGCCAAAAAAAAACTTTTTATTTTTATTGCTTTGATGCTGTGAAAATATCATACGAAATAACGAAACAAAAGAATTCCGATCAAATTTGAGCTAAATATTTTGAGCTGTATTAAATTTTTTTGTTTTTTGATTTGAAGTTCGGAAGAGCTTTTATAAAAATTAGGAAGCACACACACTCTTAATTTTTTTCTTGATACTGTGAAAATATCGTACGAATTTACGATGACAAAGTCAGCTAACGTTTGAGCTCTTAATATTAATACTAACAGCTGGCGCATTGTGATTTTTTATTTTCCATGAAAATAACACAAGTATATTGTTTTATATTACTTGCGTAGTTAATGCATTTGAACATATTATTTTATTGATATAATAAAATTGTGTGCTTGTAGGGAATTTATTGATCTAAAAAAAGTTCCGATATGATGTTTTGTTAAATCGACTCGTTAAAAGATTATTCAAGGTTAAAGTCCAGCCTTAAAGCGTAAAAAATAATTTAAACATTTTTTTTTTAAATTACTTCACAAAATAATTAGTTAAAAGTTTTTTTTTTTTGTGTGCTCACCCTAATAAAGATTACTGCAGCATATTTAAGAGCGCACTTTAGTTTATTTCTAATTTAATTTGTTTATTTGATTTCCTTGCCGCACTATGTGCTTAGTCTTATGTAGTGTTAGCGCTTGATTTGCATAATAAAGCAAAGCTTCTTATCTTCCTACCGCGTCTTTCTTTTAATATTTATTTTCATTTTATTTTATGTATAGTGCGTGTATTTGAGTATACGTTTTTTTTTAATACACTTTTATTGCAAACGAAGTAAAAGCAAATTGAATATACAAAAAACTTTTGTAAAAGTGAGGAAGTGCGTTACTTTAATACAGCAGCGTTGCATTTATGTGTTTATAAAAATTAATTAAACTTTCAAAATAGCAAAATAAGAAATTTTTTCTTTATATCTATAGTAAACAAAAATCTACTTTAATTTACATTTTTTTTTTAAGTATACACTATTAAATGATATATTCAAATATTGAAACCAATATGCTACATATTTTTAACAACCACTGTATGCATGTACTTTTAACTGCGGCGCGGCCACTTGTTGCACAACAGCAATCATATGTTTGCCCACATTAACACACTCGCAATTGCCAATATTTGTTCCGTGTTGACTGCAGTTGTTTGTTTTGCACGACAAGCTGCCGAGCACGTGTGTGTTCTAAGCGAAATGAAAACGTTTAAGTGAAGAAAAAGTAAAAGAAAATAAAAATTCATGGATAATTAAGTGCAAGATCAAAGTTACGATTATATAATAGGTGCAAAAAGACATAGAAATGGTTGAAGCACAACGTTTATATGCGTGCAAATGTTGTAAATTTCCAAGTAAATGAACACGATTGTGCGAAGACATGCTTAATTTAGTGTTTTTAACGCTCGAAAGAGATTTAATTACATTTATAACAGAGAAAATTATTAAATTTGTTTATATAAGTGGCTTAAGTGATATGGAAGTCGTTGTTGCTGTGCTCTTTAATTGATTTCTGTTTTAAAAAATGCTGTCTTTTAATTTATCAAGTTGTGTTTTAAAAAAATTAATATCGAAAAAGTATGTAATAAAAAAATGTTTTAGTGAAAAACAATGTGAAAATTTTTCATTAACGTTTTTGTAAAATAATAAGTAAAAAATATTAATAAAAAAGCTATATCGAAAGCTAAGAACAACAAAAAATACAAATATATAGTCGCATAGTCAACAGACGACATGATGTCTGCCGAGACGGAGCAAATTGATGCAAGTCGCATGAATGAATTACGACGTCACAGACGCAGCATATCACAGCTGATTGCCAATATAGGTAAATGAGCGAGCAGTAAAATGTGTAATCGTGAGTGGTGTGTAGTTTAGGGTGCGTCAAAAACACGCATACTTTTTTCGCTTGGTGCTTTGAATAATTTTTGAGTGACAACTTTAAGAAAGTGAAAGGAAGGTCCTGCGCATTACAGTTTGCTATTTTTTTCTTCTTATCATAGAAAAATTCATAACTCGTTTCCAACTGCTTTAATTTTTATTTTATTTAAATTTGATTTATGAATTTTTTTCAGGAAATTGAATGCGCTTCAAAAAAAAGTCTATAACAATATCTTTGTAAATCTAACCGTTTAAAAGTTCGTAACAGTAAACTTCAAGTTTGACTATTTTAAGGCAAATTTATTTAATTTTTTTTTATTTTTGAATTTCAGCATTTAATGAAAAAAATCATTTTAAATTGAAAAGCTTGTAGTCTTGTAGGAAATTTACTGCTCTACACAAATTGTTATGTATAATTTTTCGCTAAAGTTAAGCGTTTACGAGATATTCATCGTTAAACATCAAACCTATCAAAGAAAAAAAAAAAAAAGAAAGAGAAAAAGACAAAAAGAGCGCATTAAAAAAAAGTTTGAAAAATAATCATACTTGTATATGTATACACAAAAAGTATTTTTTGAATTAACAAATTTTGCATTTTATTTTGCCATTTAGGGTTGTGAGCATATTTTGAAGCTTTAAAATTGTCTGCCGAAATCGAGCTACCCATCTTTTTCACCACTAATTCATCATTAGAACACATTTATTTGTAAAAAGGTGCTTCAGTATCATTATTTATTTGTTTTCGTACGCAAGCGTTTGGGAAATTACCGTTCTTCAAATATTTGCAATATTGTAGTTTGAGCATTTTGAATAAGTACCGAAAGGCCTCAACCGTTCATTTGGGCATATATTACAGTATTAAAACTGTAAGTGGAAAAATGTCCAGTTATTTACAGACAAGTACGCATACAAATTGCAAACCAGTTACATTAAATTAGTGGTTGAGTCACTTGAAATTAGTCAGCGCTTTGTCAGCCGCATGCAGAACTTACATATGGTCAGAAGTAGTGGAAGGCAAAGTGCATACAGGGTGCAGCAAAATGTAAATAAAAACATTTTTGAAAATATTGAAAAAATATCGGAAGTTCTATATCTATAGCTTTTAAAAAAGTAATATTTATTAAAAAAAAATTTTAAAAAGTCACTCTTTAATTCTATTTTCTGGTCTCGCTATGAAAGACATGACTGTAAAATATTGTACATACGGCGAAATTCTAAAAATGTTGTCTACATTTAGGCGCCATTACCTTAAAAAAAAAATGCAAAAAACAATAACTGTGCTTAATGCGTAACTTTCTTAATAATTACATAATATACTTAGTAACAGTATGTGCTGACTCACTTGAGGGCTTTTGCTATTAAAATTAAAAAATGATAGTCCCAACACTAATCCATTACCGTTACGTGTCGTTCGACCGCAATTTGCTGTAGTCTTATCAGATACTTTAAATTTAAAAAGTATTGGCTAATATAAACAAAGAATACTTAGCAGATATTACATTGCAGACACCAGCAAAACGTGCACAGCCACTTAACGCTGCTTTTTGTAAGACGAGTAAACTAGTAATATCACTAAGAAAAACTGCAGAATGTGATAGCTTGATAAGTAATCAGCTTAATTAAAAGCAAAACATATATAATTTTTTAGTTTTCAATTTAAAGTTATCTAAAATATTCAGTTATAAGCACTAAAGTGGTTTTAGTGTATGATGAACTGATTTCTTGAGTCTCTCACTGAATTTAGAAGTAAAATTGTTTCTTGATTGTTGTTGTCGTTTAAACTTATGTGCTGGTGAAACACTTGTATATATTTATAGATAATATTTTATTTGCATTATATAAAAATGAACCAATCGTGGTTTTCGCAACATTTAAAGCGTTTTTCACGCAAGTGAATTCATTAATGTAACGTTGACTGTACTGATTGTTAAAATGGCGTAGTACTTCGCAGTTAACGCTAATTTATGTGGTACAATAATGGCAGTCATTGTCTTATTTATATATATCTATATATAATGGTTATGTATAAAAGCTATTCACACTAGAGCTATAAAAAAAATGCCCTGAAGGTATTGGTAGAAGGTTGGCAAATATTGGTCGTTGGCATTCATCAATAGGTATAATATAATTGTTGATTGATAAATAACTTTACTTTTGTTAAGGTTAATTTTACATGTTCACAAGTCTGTAGAAGAGCCTCTCTACCGTTTATTTATATTAGGAAAATGCTACTTTAGACTGGCAGGAACTGGATATTCACTGGACGATAACTTTTGTTCGCTAAAAACACGCCAATAAGACCTTATAAATCCTAAAAACATGTCAAAGTTACTAACAGTTTTTTTTCTAAATATATAATGTGTTGAATGTATATATGCTTGAGAATATTCACCGAAAATTTGAAGTTGTTCCGGCAAAAACTTTCGGTGATATAATTTAGAGTAATCGGCTACCAAAACTTTTTCTCGAAACCCTGTTTTCAGCGCCGATATTTTCTTTAAAAGAGCTACACTTGAAATTTTTTCACGACCGTCTTAGATTTATATATATATATGTCAGGTAATGATCAAAGGAATACAATTTTTGTTAATAATTTCGGTTTTCTAAGTGGCTTTGAAATGTAAAGTGTACACAAAAACGACTATTTTCGCCATTTCCTCAAAAATCAAAATTTCTCTTCTTCACAAAGTATCTATTCTTCAAAGTATTCTTATTTTGTAACTAAGAAACTGGCAAGCGTTCAGCTTTGTAAACGCTGTTGTGGCGTCAAGAGAACATCAAATACTGTCAAACTCATTCATCTAGTATTTCCTTAATCCACACTGAGTACTGTGCTCATTGCAATTAGCTTTTCTGTACATTTTAATATGTTAATTATATTTACGATGACATTATTATTTATACTTATTTTATCGTTAACTAACACTGCTCACTCTTAGCTTTGCATTGTACTCATTTGTGAAGTCTTGTGTGACATTCTCTTCATTATTTTAAATGACTTACGGAAATCCCCCTAAAGCCAATGAATTTTTGTTACATCAGCGCTTGTAGATTGTCACTTAAGATCAGCTGATTCATCTTCATTAATAAATGCTCTCAGTAAAGCAATCAGTGCTGATCAGCGAGAGATAACTGCTGTTAGTTTACAGCGTCTAAGCGCTACCGTACTCACTTTTTATGCGCACTACGCTTTCTTTCATTCGCAAATTTGCCGTTGGTATAGTGTGGGTGTTCTATGAATAAGTTAAAAGACTTAGAAGAACGTTTAATGTGGTTTATTATTTTAAGCAAAAAACAAATACAGGCAGTACTCATGAAATTTTTCTATGCCCTTGACTTCTAATAATTATTTTTTTTTTTAAATTTTTTGCTTGCGCTTTTGTGCTGAATCTGAAGCTGTCTAATTAAAATTCATGTACATATAGTGATTGTGGACAATAGTTAACTAAACGATACGTGCTATTTTTAATTCAAACTTTGTCATTGAAGCTTATAAGAGATGTGCTGTGAACTTGAACTTACTGCTGAAAGAAAGTGTCCAAAGGTAGTGTGCGAAGAAATTATGCTTGTTTTGGGGCTTCACAGAAACTAGTTTGTCTAAAATTCTCTTTGTACTTTTTGGCCTATAGTTTAGGTTGTCTTCGAGCAGTTAAAAAAGTTTTGTGAGCAAGCTTTTATTGTAGCTTATTAGAGTATATTTCTTTCTCTCTTTATCTGGCTATTTTTGTATCTCCTAATTTCTTCTGAATACTCGTACTTTAAACGTGGGGGAATTGAGAGTAGCATAACTAAAAACCGCCTAGTTTACTACTTCGCAAAAAATATTTTATTACTTTTCCATTAAAACAATGGAGACCTTCACGAGTTTTCGTTTCTTAGTAGCTTAAAAATTGCTTATCGTATCAAGCGCTGATAAAGTTGAAAAAAAATTTATTTTAATTTAATTGCGTCTTAAAAATGACTTTGAATTTTTTGCTTGATATTTAGTAGGCTATTATGACTAAGTGTTAAGTTAAACGTGTTGCTTTTAACTGTGTTTTAAGGATGGCATGCCGTTTTTATTTCATTAAAGCTTTCTAAAAAGATAATCATTAGAGAAAAGGAAGTTTCGATGGATATTCTGTTTAAGACGCTACTATATAGCTCACTATATATTGGCGTGATAAATCACTACTGAAAATTGACGAGTAGCTTTCTTAGAAATTAGTTTTAATTGAGAGGAAGCTTTCCTCCAATCTTAGTGCGCTTGGCTTGGAAACTGCTTAAGTTTTACTGAAAACTTCATAGCGCAGACACAATTTCGTTACGGATTATTATTGCGCAGAACTTTCATAAATCGCAAAATGAGTTGTTATATTAAATGAGTATTTGACTTTGTTTGTTTTTGCCAATGAGGATTATTTCTTTATGCTTTTTAATAGATGAAATAAGCAAATCAATTTACTAGGCTTTATATTCAATTCAAACGCATAAATTTTTGCTATGGTTTTTAAAGTTTTATTATGTTAAGCAGAACACACGTAAATGAAGCTGAAATTCCCAAAATCGATTACCACACACTATCTGTATTGATTAGGGACGCCCACGGCGTGACTACAACTGTTGTCATATAAGTTGTTAGTTGTTCAATTAATAGTAGTCATTTGCAGCTACTGACAACAGAGATTCCAATACTTTCAATATATAAAAAAAAAAATAAATAAAAATAAATAAAAAAAGTATAAAAAATAAAGAAAAATTGATAAAAATGTTCGAGTAAACATGAAAAATATAAGCAACATATCTAGCTATAAATAAACGAGGAAAGGGTAAAGAATTTTTTTTTACCACAAATGATGTAAATATTTGAATCATACAGGTGGCGCAGCTGCTTAGGGTTACATGTAGGGTAGTAGCAAAAAAAAAACAAAAAAATTATGAAAAATTAAGTGCTAAGATAAAAACAATATTGTATATAATTGTTTGCAAAAGGTAATTATAAAACTATTTTAAAGCCTTCGCTTTATAATACATTATCCCCTATATGATTTAAAGCGGCAGGCTTTATCCAACTTGCCAGGAATAGTTTTTATCAAAGTTGCATAGAATATTGGATGTATACGTATGTATGTAAAGTCATATAAAACATATATACATATGTATGTATGATTTCAAGACAAATGTGCTTATTGTCACCTAAAATGCAAAATAAGGTAACATCATTTTCTATAAGTTTACTGGAGCAAAAAAAAACAAAACAAAGTAGTATTTACTCATATTGAAACCAAATTTGAATTTTGGTTATAACTTGGTTATGCCTGATATGTAATATGATTTAGTGAATCGTAATCAATAAAAAAATTGAATACGAAATTTTGTCGATATGTTGTATTGCAGAAATTAACCCAAGCAAAGTTAATTTGTGTCAGCAAAAATATTCATGCGTTTTACTTTGCATATACCGAATCGTTCATTAAGTTATTGCCTTTTAGTTATAAAAAATGCCTAGGAAAGTTTAATTCATTTCTTGCGCTAACATTGACTTCTTCTACGATATGTGTAGAACGCTAAAAATCTGTCACTGTCAAAATGTTGCATGATTATAAGAGACCACTGTATGTATCAACCTATACATACAAAGGTATAATTTTTATATATATACATATATAAATATAAACAACTTCCACTGCAGAAAGCATAATAAACGATCACAATGTAAATATACAAGTATGATATTAAGTTTAATATTTTTTGTAATTAATGTACAAGTACTTCATTTGCTGACGTGATTTATTTGCACAAAAACACTACATCAGCGCTGACGAAATTAAATGAATTTTTAAACTCATTCTGAGTATAAAGTGCTTTACTCTTTCGTATGCATTGCACTAACGCAAGTAAATGACAGTTTTTGTTTCTGTATTTATATATATGCATATATGTATTTTTTATATTTTTTTTTAACTAACACTAGTTTTTTTGTTGCCTCAAATTATAATTTTTTTTATGCGTTCAAATATAATATGAGTTAAAAATGACTAGCTGGCGCTTGCTTCATCAAGAATATGTGCTAGAAGTGCCTGATAATTATTTTTTTATAGCTCTCTTTCAACATGTGACTTAACGAGCACTTGATTTCATATTTGAACATGTGCTTCGTACAATTTTCTCAGGCTACTTTTGTAATTTCCGCACTTTGTAAATGTCAAATGTGAAGTGAAGGTCACTTTTTATTTCTTGAAAAAATGCTGATTGTAGGTGCGGTGCATGTAAATTTATATTATATATTTTTTATTGTCTTAATGTTGTTGTAAAGTTATTATTACAAAGTTGTTACAGCCTTCTTATATCAGTGAGCAATCAATCCATTTTGTTTAAGACAGTTTCAATGATTTTTAAAGCCAATTTAAACAAACTAATTTACCGTTGTTAACACACATATGACAACACACACACACATACATATGCAGCCATTGTTTATGCGCGCATAAAAGGTTATGTTCATGTCTGCTAACCGTCTATTTGTGTGCTTTTTTTTGCGCATGACCCTAACATTTCACCTCAACCTTATGCTCCAAACACACACACACACACACACATACGGCCAAGCTTATTGAGGCGGCAGCATATTTATTTAGCGCTAAAATGGCTTACTATATTGTTGTACAACAATTTGTTTGCTAAAAAAAGCGTTCGTGTTTTACATGCTCTCGGCTTTGTTGTCATATTTTATAACCTCCGTTATGTGCCACAGATTTATATAGTGCAAGGCGTTGAACTGTTGTCATGTTCGGCACTTAAACACGTCGTAAATGTTGAACAGAAAACAAAAAATATTTAATAAAAAAAACAATGCAAAAATAAGTAAATTAAGAACTCAAATTTTAAAAAAAAATTTTTTTATATTTGTGTAAAATAAAAAACATAAATTTTTTTCTGTGAAACATTCATGCTTTTTATTTCTTTTGTGCAACATTTTAACATATTAATATGATATATGAAATTAGTAATAATTATATTTTAATATTGTAAATAGCTTCTTATTAAAACATAACGTTTGTATAGTTTTTGAGTAAATTCATTAAAAAAGTATTTTTATGGCACAAGCTCTGGGTGAATACGTTTGACTTTATGGCATTTTATAATTTATTTTATTTCAAAATAATTTTTTCTTCTTTGTGGTTTTCATTGTTTATTTTTCAATTAACATTTAACACAGCAGCCGGGAAAGACGCCATTGAAGGTCTTTTTGTTGCCGCACGTGACGCGATACTTGCCGCAACTGAAAAATGAGTGAAAAAATTAAAAAAAAAAGTAAAAAACATTAACTTCGGCTGCACCGAAGCTATAATATACTTCACATTTAATTTTTTTATAGCATAAAAGTGTATAATAAAATTTTATCTTGATTTTGGTCGAACAGTTTCTGTAGCAGCTATATGCTCTATTAGTCCGATCTAAACAATATCTTCGGAAATTGTGGCGCTTGAAAAATAATTTATGCCAAATTTCGTGATAATAAATTCTCAAATAAAAAAGTTTCCCATACAAGAACCTGACTTTGATCGATCAGTTTGTATGGCAGCTATATGCTATAGGGAGCCGATTTGAGCAATATTTTCGGAAATTATAGCGCTGCTCTGCACAATAATTCGTACCAAATTTGGTGAAGATATCTATTAAATCACGAGGTTCAGCACACAAGGACATAATTTTGATCGATCAGTTTGTATGCCAACTATATGCTATAGTGGTCAGATATCGGCGGTTCCGACAAATGAGCAGTTTCTGGGCGAGAAAAGTATTTGTACAAATTTTCAGATCGATATCACAAAAACTGATGAAGTAGCTTGCATATATGCAGGCGGTTAGACAGACGTACAGCTCAGCTCGTCACGCTGATCATTTATATACATATATAATGAATTACTATTTAATTATCAAATTCAACTCACTCTTCCACTTCGGTTTTGAAATTCTCTGAACAAACTGCGCGCTTCACACACTTGCCATCCACACCGAAGTCCACATAGTCCTGACCTTGTTTGAGTAGCGGCAAATATTTCAGGAATATCGTTTCACCCTGAGTATTTCGATATGAGCAAACCGGTTCGTTGCCTGCAATTCGAAATGTTATTACTGTTGTTTAATTTACAAACACTACAACAATAGCACGAGTAAATGAAAAGATGCCGCCAATTTAGAACTATCCAGGCATTCAAAGGATATATAGACTTGTGTAGCATACTTACCGGCGTTGACGCCTATGGCTAGCATACCGGCCAGCAATAAGAATGCTATGGCGAACTTCATGGTTGGAAAACTATAATTTTCATAAAATGTATTTTCGCAAGTTGCTTTGAATCGCAGCTTCTACGATATTTTTCCGCTCACTATTACGCAATACAAATCACATTCGCTGCTGCACTCACACTGATTCGGAAAAACTAAGCTAAAGGCTTATTTATATTCAACGTCGCCATTTGCTGTTTGCGCCGGTTTCCGACAAAGAGGAAAAAACAAAGTTATATGCCGTTGCAGGTCGCTGGAGATTTCCATGCGAAATTTTACGATGCTCGTGATTAGATCAGCCATCCGATTTAATTTATTTTGAAGTTGAATTTCGCTGCCATAGCATAATAGCTGGGGCATGTAGAGCCCCACATTCATTTCTTACACACTTACAAACATATATATCCACTAAATGCTCGTCGGCTCACTTATGTTCGTGCTTTCAGTATTAACTAGTTCCGTTCTAGCGTTCAACTAGCTTTGTGGTGATTAAGCTTTCAGCTTTACTACTTACAAGTTGCGCTGAGCTAGATTGTTTTCTTGTTCTTCTATATGCTTCTCGTGGGAAGCGTCGATTCGAAAAGTTGGTTGCACTGTGAAAATGTTTTTCAGGGTCAATTGTTTAAATTAAATGGATTATGGGTCCTCATGCCTATTAGTAATCAAATAATGTTAGAAAATTTACAGAGTGCTTCAAATAGTAAAAAATTAAATGGATTATGGATTCTCAGGCTTATTTGTGTTAAAAAAATGCTAGCAAATATACAGGGTGCTACAAAAATTAGGGAAATTTTTGTTTTAGTGGGTTTAATCATACAAATTTCGAGACTTGACGAACAAACACTGACGAAGTCTTTCAGGAGATGGATATTCTTGTTGCTGATATGTTTGACTCTTAAAATCGGCGCCAGTTTGAATTACCCAATTAAAGCGAGCTCTTCAGTGTCACACAAAAGAATCTGTCATTCAATACAAATATGTTCCTCTATCCTCAAATTCCGCAGTGCTAAAGCTTAGGATTGACCTGAGCGATAAAATTCCAATATCTCCGAAGATAGCTCTTGATTCCCCATGTTGAAGAGAAGCCGAATTTTACCCCAAAACCAATTGAAAATTTTTAGTTGATCGGAGAATAGGTAATAACGTGATTAGATACATAAATTACATAGCTCAGAGATATCACTTATTTACCGTAATTGCAAGAATTTACTCACACTAAGTTAATAATATTAGATATATGGATATTCAGTTAGCACAACTCTTTTTGGTCAAAGTTATTCTATAGGAGCCTCAGGATAATATTTTTAAGTTGAGCTGATTTTTCTATAGTCTGAATGGAAAGTAAGATTAACCGTTATCTAACAGAAATTTATATATACTCAAGCTTACAGCAGCTAGCCTAATGACACCTTGAGGATTACCACTTAATTTATTTATATATTAATTTTAGACAATATCTAAATTTCACAAATCTTCTCTCTCTTTTTTTTCACACAGACGAATTCATCGATCGTGAGACTGGTCTTGCGAATCCTGCGCTCGTCTATGATGAGCTAGACTATCCACATCTCTATTCACAGTTCGACGGCGGTGGCGCAATAACGATGACCAGCAATATCGATCCGCAGCAATCACGTGCCTACATAGTCAACGCCACCGATAGCATTGATGGTGAGAGTAGAGATTACACACCCGAAGAGTTGGAGGAGGAAGATGGTGAGGAAAAGGTTACGCGCTGTGTGCCCGATTTTCAGTTCTCGCTCGTCGATTCGGAATATGACGAGACGCTGGCGTTTCCCGATTCCGTGACGATATTGTCGAATGTCGGTGATAAACCAGTGCTGGTACAGCGTAAAGACACCGACGACGATGACGATGAGGAGGAGGGTGCTGGTGCATTGATGGGACAACCTTCGGAGATACCATATACGTCTATATATGGACCGAGCATGAAATTCAATTCATTTCAGCGTAAAGTATTCATACCCGGTATGGAGATACAGGTGCGAATAATCGACAACGAACGCAGTGTGACGACGCATTTATTAAATCCAAATTTGTGAGTTCGTTTATAATATTTCAAATTATTGTTTAGTGTGTAAAGTGTATCTTTATTTCATCTGCATAGGTATACCATCGAACTGACGCATGGACCTTTCACGTGGACCATCAAGCGACGCTACAAGCATTTCAATTCGCTGCATCAGCAGCTAAGTTTCTTTCGCACCTCACTGAACATTCCATTCCCGATGCGCAGCCACAAGGAGAAGCGTGCCACAATTAAAAAGGCGGCCATACAAATGGCCGATGAGGCGCGTCTGAAGTCAATGCAGCTGTCGCAGACCCAGACAACGATCTGCGAGATGAGCCAGAAACTGCAGTGTAATGGTAACGGTGAAGCCTGCAGTACAATGGTTTTGCCTAGCACTAGCAATAGTCCGCTGTCCAATTTGGGTATTTTGGGTAAGAAAAGGAAGAAGGAAAGAAAACTGCCACGTTTCCCCAATCGACCCGAATCGCTTATAACGGTCGAGTCATTGCCTATGCGTATAAAGCAATTGGAGGATTATCTGTACAACTTACTGAACATCAGCTTGTATCGCAATCATCACGAAACGGTGAGTCCAAAGGGCTTAAAAACTTTCGGTTCTCCAAGTTCATAAATCCAATATTATTAAATATACTTTTGCTTTCCAACAGCTGAACTTCGTTGAGGTCTCAAATGTCTCTTTCGTGTCCGACCTCGGCATCAAGGGCAAGGAGGGCGCTATACAAAAGCGTACCGGCTCCACGCGTCCCGGTCAGGCAGGTTGTAATTTTTTCGGTTGTTTTCAGCAGAAGTGTTGTGTGCGCTGCAGCTTCTTTTGCTCGGACGTTCTGTACGGTAAATGGCGTAATCGTTGGTTCTTTGTCAAGGAGACTTGCTTCGGTTACATACGTCCCACCGATGGTGTCATTAGGTAAAACCTTGAAAGCTAAAGCTTGCAACATTATCAGTTATTCATTTATCGCTCATGTTTTTGACACTCCAATATGTAGATCTGTGATATTATTTGATCAGGGTTTCGACGTCTCCACTGGCATCTATCAGACCGGCATGCGTAAGGGTCTGCAGGTGCTTACCAATAATCGTCACATTATACTGAAGTGCTGGACACGTCGGAAGTGCAAAGAGTGGATGCAATACCTCAAGCAGACCGCAAATAGTTATGCGCGCGACTTTACCTATCCCAACCCGCATATGTCCTACGCGCCTGTACGTTCTGGTATTCAAGCGAGTTGGCATGTCGACGGTTCTACTTATATGGGCGCCATAGCGGATGCGCTTGAAGAGGCAAAAGAGGAAATCTATATCGCTGATTGGTGGTTGAGTCCGGAAATTTATATGAAACGGCCGGCGGTTGATGGCGATTACTGGCGCTTGGATAAGATCTTGCATCGTAAAGCGGTGAGCAATTTTACTTGATAAAGTTGCGATATTGAAACTAAAATTTCTTCCTCTCTCTGCAACTATAGTCACAGGGCATTAAGGTGTTCGTGCTACTCTACAAAGAGGTCGAAATGGCTTTGGGCATTAATAGCTACTACAGCAAACAGAGGCTTTCACATGAGAATATAAGGGTACATTTCCAATATTCATACAAAGAAAATTGTGACTCACATTTGTGCCGTTTTGTTCACATAGGTACTCCGACATCCCGATCATGCGCGCGCTGGTGTGTTCTTCTGGGCTCACCATGAAAAGATTGTTGTAGTGGATCAGACTTACGCTTTCATCGGTGGTCTCGATCTTTGTTATGGCCGTTGGGACGACTATCGACATCGTTTGACTGACCTTGGCAGCATATCCACCGCCTCTGCTTCGGGTAGCACACGACGTCTAGGCGGTTTCTTTACTAAAGACGATGCCGACTCTGCCTTCGGTTCGCAGAAGTCCTCACGCAAATGTACGAATGTAAATGTAGACCTACAGAAAAGGGAACAATTAAGCGCAAACAGTGAAGAACACCAATTTGAAGAGGTTGAGCTACGTACACTCGCGCCAGGCGATAAACTTGTGATACCTGAATTGCTTTCACCGCCCACAGGCGAACCAATCGCCATCGAAGGCATGAAATTAAATACACCCGAAATGGAGCGTAAGAATGTTTTGGAGAAAATCACTACGAATGCGATGCGTAAGGGTAAAGACTTGGTGAGTCGGCTAACAATGACCGAACATGAACGCGCAGCGTCGCCTGATATGCTGAAAGATCCCAAACAGCTTGTGTTCACCATTGATGAGGTGGAAACTGGACGCTTGGGTGGTTTAGAGGATCCCACGCCTTTCCAAACGCAAATACTCAACGATTACTATGGTCAAGCAAAGTATTGGTTCGGCAAGGATTACTCCAATTTCATACTCAAAGACTGGATGAATTTAGATGCGCCGCTCGTCGACATCATAGACCGCTCGACAACACCACGTATGCCTTGGCATGACGTGGGCGTGTGTTTAGTGGGATCAGCGGCGCGCGATGCGGCGCGTCACTTCATACAGCGCTGGAATGCTGTAAAGCTGGAGAAGATGCGTGATAACGCCAGCTTCCCATATTTAATGCCAAAGAGTTACAACAATATCAGGCTGAATCCAAATATTACCTTGAAGCGTCAGAATCGTGTTACGTGTCAGCTGCTGCGCAGCGCGTCCTCTTGGAGCTGCGGTTTCATCGAGCAGGATTTGGTTGAACAAAGCATACATGACGCTTACATACAGACAATAACGAAGGCGCAGCATTTTATCTACATCGAAAATCAATTCTTTATCACCATGCAGTTGGGTGCGACGGGTGCGTATGGCAATGTGCGCAATCAGATTGGTGAAACGCTGTTTAAGCGAATCGTGCGCGCGCATAAGTGAGTATGGGTGACGTTGAAAGTTACCAATAGCTAAGCTTAAAACTTAAAATTATTTTGTATAGAGAACGCAAGACTTTTCGTGTATTTGTGATCATACCACTACTGCCTGGCTTTGAGGGTGACGTTGGCGGCAGCACTGGCAATGCGGTGCGCGCCATCACGCATTGGAACTATGCATCGATATCACGGTAATTAAATTATATTTTAGTGTTTTCGGGTTACTTATGCTGAAAGTTTATTGTTACAGCGGTCGCTCTGGAATACTAACACGTCTGCAGGAGGTGGGCATAAAAGATCCCGGTGAATATATCTCCTTCCACAGTTTGCGCACAAACTCACAGCTCAACAATAATCCAATCACTGAACTAATTTATGTGCACTCCAAGCTGTTGATCGCAGACGATCGCGTTGTAATATGTGGTTCGGCAAATATCAACGATCGTTCCATGATCGGCAAACGTGATTCGGAAATTGCGGCCATCATAACCGATGAAGAGTTTGAAGATGGACGCATGAATGGCAAAAAATATCCAAGCGGTGTGTTCGCCGGTAGACTGCGCAAATTTCTATTTAAGGAGCATTTAGGCTTACTCGATCCAGACGCGGATCGTATGCCAATCGATGTGATGGATCCGGTGATCGATCAGTTTTGGAATGGTATGTGGCGACGCACGGCAACACGCAATACTGAGCTTTATGAAGAGATCTTCAAGTGTCTGCCAACTGATAAGGTGAAATCGTATGCAGATTTGCGAAAATATCAGGAAGAACCGCCGCTATGTAAGTCCGATCCAGAAATGGCTATGAAGCGGGTGGCAAATATACAGGTGAGTCAAAAAAATATTAGAAGTGCTTATATGAATTAAATTGCATGTATTTAGTTCACTTATTTTTAAATAAGTTTATATAAGTATATCTATATATAACACTATCTAATATATACGTTATCTAATCATACGTTTTCACACCTATGCAGGGTTTCCTAGTCAACCTTCCATTGGACTTCCTCAACAAAGAGGTGCTCAAACCGCCTGGCACCAGTAAAGAGGGACTCATCCCGACCGCCGTGTGGACGTAGTCACAGGCGTGCATTTACGCTGTTAAAAATTTGCTACAATGTATTTATTACTACTATTACTATTATTTTAATTATGATTACTATAAATATTATTATTATTTTATTATTATTATCACAATTGTATATTAAGAAGCGTATAAAATTGAAAAGTTTAAAGTGCTTTATTAGCATGTAAGTGTAGAATAAGGCTTTGTTGACTTTATTATTTTAACATTTTACTTGATATTAGATCTTGATTTAATTTAGACTATAATTTAGCGATTACAAATATGTTTTCGACAGTATTTTAGTTTTCGAAGATATTTTACAAACTTCTATTCCACAATATAGTACTTGTCATAGATTTAAATCAACTATTTTCAATAGAAAATCAAAATCAAATATATAAGATATATCATAAAATTTCGTATTTCCATCTATGGCTTGTTGGTTGGTTAGTTGGGAGGGGCAGGAGCGCTTTACCAATTTTTCTTACACATCGTGGTTATTGCAATGAAGTCTTCAATATAACTACTGTTATAACTGTAATGTTGATATTAAATTCCAACTAAATAAACCAGCGTGCTTATGAACTTCCCTAACTTTGTATACCATGAATAGGCAGTCCCTCAGTTTTTGATATATCGAAGCTGCTTATTCGTCGGAACTGCGGATATCGGACCACTGTAGAATATAGCTGTCATACAAACTGAACGATCAATATAAAGTTCTTATACGGAAAATTTTTTTATCTCACAAGACATCTTTACAAAATTCGTCATATATTATTGTTCAAGGCAACGGTATAATTTTTAAACAAATTATTCAGATCGTATCATTGCAACACATATATATGTAGCTGCCATGCCAGCTCAACGATCAAAATCAAGTTCTTGTATGGAAATTGTTTTATTTGTGAGGGTTATTATAGATTCGTAGCTATAGGTAGGACCCTTAAGAATATTGACTTAAGTCACTATGTGCTGAGCGATTTCGGTCGAATCAGCTGCAGAGAAACAATCATATCACAAGTTCTTCAAACGATCCAGCATTCATACCCAGCTAGGGATTGTCACCTTACACTCCAAAGAACTGTTTAGAAAATGGCATATGTAGCTACAATACTGAAACGGAAGACCCTCTACTAAGATGACCAGCTTCAGTACTTCTAATAACGGGAATATCACGAATACACCTTCGCATTTGGTCACAATATACTATTCCAGCAGCGTTAGCAAGCCGGTTTCTCGTTAATAAAACTAAACTAACCACCAAAATCAAAATTTAAAACAGTTCAACCATAGAACATAAATGATCTCTGGTTCAAAAGCTTCATTCATCATTAATAAATAAAACACACAGGGAGCTCATCAAAACTTTAATTTATGCTGTTAACTCACACACAGATGGCGCTAAACACCGTGCGGAAGCTTGTCAACATTGCCATTTCCACTTTGCATTAAACTTACTTAAATTTCGATTAAACCAAAAAGTAGCATTAATACAGTGCAAAGTAAACAAGAGCACGAAGAGAGTAAGTGCTGCGCTCAACAAAACAATTGGCAACGAGTTAGCAAAAACAAAATTAATACAAAAAAAAAACAACTGCAAACACACTGAGTCGTGCAAAGAAGTATACGCAGAGAGCGATAACAACAGCAGAGCTTTGCACTGGAAGAAGGTAAAAGTCGAAAGCAAACATACAACCGGCCAGTAACGCTCACACTCACCGAAAACGCTCGCGAGTTCACCGTCAAATGTCAGCCAATGCAACGATAACACAGCGACTGTCGGCAGCAGAGAGTGCAATAGCAGCGCAGCGCTGACAGCATTGTAACGTTGCAAAAGCGCGGTTGGCTGGGTCAGTTCGTCGTCTCGTTTCGTGTGGTTAGGAGTCGAATTGAATCGAATTGGATTGGCAAGCATTGAATAGAGTGTTGTGCGAATTTGTACGGATTAATGCATAGAATAAAGTGGATGTTTGAGCCAAAATTGTTTAATTAAACGGTGCATTCACCGGAAAACAGAAAGTTTGTGGAAAAAGTGAAGCTTCGACAGCAACGCCAAATGGTGTGCGAAAACTGTGTATGCGTGAAAGCGAAATGAAGTGCAAGTGAATTGGCGAACAGCGAGTGCTGCTAGCGGAGAGAAGTTGATGCCAGCGGAGGTGGAGTGCGACGAACAAGGTAATGTGTAAGAATTTCGGTATTTCGCGGTGAGATTTATTGTAGTAAGTGGTTGCAAATATTTGGTGCTTTGGTGGCATGCTTAAAGTGTGAGTATATTAGTGCGTTTGTGATATCATAATGATTGTTTGTGGTGGTTACATGAAGCCTTGAAGGCTTGAATTGTAATAATCAATATTGCTGTATTTAGTTTAAGCAATAAAAGTTGCTAATAAAATTATAAATAATTAAAAAGTTAGTCCAAGCGTCTAAATGCGAAAAAGTTAGAGTTCGCAGCAAAAATGTATACATAAATAAATACATATGTGCACATATATTCACAATACACACCACACACACACACACACACATATGTAGCAATGTAAATATGTTTGTATATAAATTACTGACCTGCAGCGACAAAAACTTCCTTGCTGGTATACATAAAAGTTCGCGTGTTGCTAACAAAATAAGCATCCTTGTTTTTGTTATTGTGACTTTAGCTCGCTATATGCTGCACATTCTCGCTACTTGTGGCATGCATTTAAGTTGTTCTGCTGTGTGTCGTTGCACTTCCATGCTTGTGAGTTAAAAAGATACAACAACAATAATGCGGGTTATATAGGAAGTGAAACGTTAGTACGAAGCACAACGCAAAAATATTAAAAAAAACAACAAATAAGCAAATGCCAATAAGTAAGGCAATGACAGTGAAATGTTTGTTGGCGAGTTAGTTCCTCTACTTCGTGTGCAACACGGCAGCAAGCAACCTGTCACAAAGGTACTACAATAATACAACAATATAAGTGTGTGAGCACAGTTGTTGCTGACAAGCGGATGGCAGTAGAACTTAAGCAGCGGAAAACAGCTGAGATGAGGTGGAGAAGTTGAAGTGAAAATGCTATTAGAACAAACGAAGACATAAATAAATATGTACGTAAGGATATGTGGGTAGCAAATAGTAAATAGTTGGTGTAGAAGGATTGATACAGACAGCATAAGTGAATAAGTGCATAAGGGACGTCTTATACTGGCAAAGCAGACCATGCAAAGAGCATGTGCAAATGTGTGACTTTGTAGCGTACAAAAAAGTAATTTAGAAGTTTGAAATGGAAAAAAAATATGAGGACAAATGGCATAAATGGCAGGTAGATGGACTTCCGAAATGGTTAGAAAATAAGTATATATATATATATATATGTATGCATGTGCTTATGTATATACTTGCATATAATATATACTTTTATATTTTATAGGGTCTCCAACGTGTTCTTCTGGGTGTTACAAACTTCGTGATTTTCATATAATATCTCAAGACCATAACTAACAAGGGACTAAAATAGCCAGAAGTTTAATATTTCTTGCGCAGGAAGGGAAAGCGCGGCTGGAAGCAGAAATTATTTTTTAAATAAATTATTTTTTTAATATTATATCAACTCGTAACTCACATCTTTAAGACAAATATATTCTGCAACGTTCAAAAAACTTTGCATAATTAGTAATACACTCCATATTGAAATCTGAAAGCTAAGGAAATGAGAAAAATAAGAAAAAAACACGTTCAAAAGCTTGTCTTGAGAATGTTGGCAAAGTGATAAAGAAGCAATAAAAACAAAAGATATGCAAAAATACCAACAGAACGGGGAGTGCAAAAACCACAAGTCAAGCAAAACAAAACAAAACATAAGAAACAAAAAATAAAAACAAACAGCAAAAACTTGCACAGCTGCTTTTTGCCAATACACTGCACACATACACGCTTACGCGAATACAAAACAAAAAAAAAAACCATATGGCCAACAAATATAACAACAAACAAGTAGTATTTGCGGTATAAAGAAAAACAAGTCGCCAAAGAAGCTCACACACAAAGCAAAATGTAAACATAAACTAACGAAATAAAACATGGCAAACGCAACAACAATAAAGCCAAAAGCAAAGCCAAAGAAAAATAAAAATAACACATATGTATATATGTATATGTATATATGTATATGTATATGTTTATATGTGTGTTTTTGGTTACTTTGCAAAATAAAAGGACCCTAAAAGCAAGCCTCCAAACAAAGTTTGACTGTAGCCAACTTGCTTGAGCACACTCGAATGAGAAGAACCAAACACAAAGAGCGCACGCAATTTTGACAAAGAGAGCAAGTAGCTAAGCGTTTAAAAATAGCACGCAAATGGCAATGCCCTTCTATTTCTGACTTCCCTATTGGAGAAAAAGGCAAACAAACAAAAAATTATTATTATATTAGCGTCCGAGCGGCAGGCAGCGCGTACAACACAAGATGTGATAAATATGCAATACATAGTGTAATAACAACAACGCCAACCAATGAAGAGACAACAAATACGCAAGAATCAGTTGCATCACTCGTCGGCAGCAAGCGTAGTGCATAGCGTCGCTGTGCACGACGACAAGGCGAATCAAGCGAGCAACAAGACGTATACGTAATATTTATTTGTATTTGTTGTGTGTGTGTGTGTGTAGGTGTGCTTTTGTGTTGGGGAAGACGCATCTTGGCAAACTTCTTTAATAAAAGCACGTGTTGCCTACAAATATTACATTTACGAGTAAGTCAAGACGACTGCCAGCGCAAGCTAAGCGTGGCGTTGTCATTGGAAAGAGAAAAATGAGCAAAGAGAGCGAGTGGGCAAACACAAACATGACTCTACAAATCATGCAATGAAGTTACTTTGGCGAGCATGCAATATTTTTGAGTGGGTTGCACGCCAAAAGTGAGAACCAACGCAAGCAAAGCGTGAAAAGTAAAAAAACAGCTCATAAAAAAAAGTTAAAAATGCTAATACGATGTGGTAATAGTTTGACGAACAACTTGCATGTGTGTGCGTCTCTAGTAGAAGCGTAAAGGCTATCAGCAAGCAAAGCATAGTCATTCACGGGTCGGGCAAGCGTTTGGTGTAGCTTGTCACCAAGAGCTTGTCACCGCTCTTCCTGGTTTGATATTTATGCTATGAGATGATATCAAGTGTTTAGCCGATTGTGATAAGAAAACCTGCATGGAATGTGCATGTGCTGTACTCATAGTAGGTAGTTATGCTCATAAGCCTAAGCCGGTGGGGTAAATATCAAGAAGTGCTGTTATTGCATTACGGCATAAGCAGTCGAAGGTATATGATATAATTTCTCAAAAGTTCGACTAATTTGCTCGAAGGAATTTCAAATTCGTCTGCTGGTTTTTTCCAGTTATTAAACTCACAACAAATATTTTTGGGTTGATTTTAATATATTTGAACCGAAGTACAGATATTAACGAACATTTTTATACGAGGCTCGCTTTTGAAAATAACAATTTATATTTTATTGATAATTACATTTTATTATTAATTATATTTTATTATTATTATGAAGTCAGCTGTTTAATCTAGTAAAATATCTTAATCCAACTCAGCCAAAAAAGTTAAAGAGTTGACTAAAAAGTGGCGTTTGCAGCAGAAATGAATTCCTAAACCCTATATAAATTAAAAAATATTCATACATAGGAATATTGATATGCTTCTATATAGAAAACACGCAGAATCGTGGCAGAACATGGCACACTGTAAATAAATAAAATAATCAAAAAACCAAAGCAAGAAAGAAAGACGAGTAAGAAATCGCTTTGATTGCATATTTATCAGCATTTGTTTTGTTTATATGTTGTTGCTTTTGTTATTATTATTTTATTGTTGTACTGTATTTGTTGCTCTGCTGCAGTCGCAACCATCGTGTTCGTAGCCGGTCGCTCATCGTTCTCCATCATCGCCAACGCCTCGCAAGCTATTCGTGCGTTCCATGCTTTGACGAGCTGGTTAGTAAAAGTGTTCGTTCGCGCGCTCGTAAGCTTCTTTTTTCGTTGATTCTTGCTATACGAGTACAACGCACTCGACATGTGCGCTAAACGAACTCGAACGACCATGCATTCGTTGGTGGCGCTCGTCAAACGCTGACGCTGACGTGGACGCCAACTGCGGTTGGTTGTTTGGTTTTTGGCGCTTTTTCGTTTGATTCATATGTATATGTGTTTTTTTATTTTCCGACGTTGCCAGTAGTCGTATATAGTTTTTAGGGTAAAAATTAAAAAATTGAAAAGAAACAGTGAGAGATTGTTATCGCTTCTATCTTTCGACAGTTGAGCTTCAATTTGCATAATTTAAAGGCCTATATTAAAGATCTGCTTATGAAGTTCCTTCAAAACGTTATTCAACACAGGGTGCGCAAATGTCGTACCACGCGCTGAACGTTAATTTGATTTTTAGAAATTTCATATAGAATTTACCCTCTGAAGCTAAGTCTTCTGGACTCTTAACGCTCGTATATTTCCTATTTCCATGCAAATCTACAATCTGGCAACTCATGTTCATTATTAGCTACTAGCATAAAATATGTAGCTGCTTGTGAGAGCGTCACACATCGCGCCCGCAGCGCTGCAACCAACGCGACTAACGTAAACGCGCCCCAACGCGTACCCCAGTCGTAGAATCGCGCACACGATTGGTATATGCAAAGCAAACGTTCGAAAGTATATGCTGGCATAGCTTACGACTGCCGCCACAACAGCGACATCGTGCAAAAATATTACACGAACAAACTGAACGAACACAGCGACGACGATGCCGCCAACAACAAAACTAAAGCGCTCGTAAGATTAGAGAACCCATCAACTAGTGGCGCACGAAACGCGACGAGCTGCGAAACAGCAACTACAACAGCTCAGTCTTCAATGAGCGTTCGCTTTTTGTGTTACTCCAAACGGCTGTTGGTTGGGCACTCCACGCACGCGACCGGTCGTCAAACACAGTAAGCGCGGAAGGCTACTGGAGACGTAGCTCATATTTGGGCTGACTGCAAAAAACTCTATTAAATATTTATTACGATTTAAGTGCTTGCAACTAACTAATGGCTGCAAAACAGCAGCGCAGCGGAAGTGAACTATGAAGTTGAAATGACGACTAGTGCAAGAACAGTGTGATGCATTGCAAAGGTGCGTATGTGTGTGAGATTAAGTGTGTGCAGTTAGCAAGGGGAAGGCGAGAGAGAGAGCGGAGAGAGTGTGTATGCGCGGCAGTGAAAGAGCTACTTGCAAACGCAGCGAGATGTGCGACGGCAGCGGAAATGCAATGAGTTACGGCGAGGCCAAAGCTTGAAAGTGTGTGTGCATGTGTATGCGTGAGTGCGTATGTGTAACTGCAGCAAGGTGGCAAGCAAACAGGCAGGTGCGTGCAAAAAGGCTTGGAGAACGCGTGCAAAATGCAGTGTAGGCGCGGTGTGCGGCGCGTGCAAGCGTTAAATGCGATAGAATACGCAAGCTCAGTTATTTACATAACGGTGTTTGTTTTAGGTACAATAAAAAAGCAAGCAACAACAATTATTAGCACAAAAGTATAAGTGCAATAAGAGAAGAAAAAATGTAAAGTGTTTATAATAATTTAAATAGAAGTGTTGAAAATGCTTATTTAGAAGCATGTGTGTGTGTGTGAGTGTATCATGCCAATAACGTAGCGCTCAAGTGCCGCAACGAAATTCCCACAATTATCTACCCTTTACTTTATTTTACATTTACATATTTGTTAAAAAAATTAGCATAAAAAGCGATACGATTTTCAATATTGTGTAACCAACAACAAAACACATACATACAAGTATTGTATATATATTTAAATATATGCGACAACAACTTAGCTACCGTTTCTCTTACAACAGCTGACCACCGATCGTCACTAACGCCGTTGTTTTTTCGTTTTTCCACACGTTTTTGTTGTAAAACAAGTGTTAAGCAAGCGCATACTGGACGCTCAGTATAACAATTGCAACAACAGCGCTTATGAAAAACAAAAAACCTAGAAAACACACTACTAACCATATGAGGCGGACGACGCGCTTGTAAAACCATGCGTGTAACTCTCAGTCAGCAAGCGACTTGTGGCTCGCTCGCCTAACGACACTTGCACCAATTGACTTGATAGCTGTTGTGGCTACTCGATCGATTCGTTGACGGAACGACCGATCGACAATGTGACTGACGAACTGGCTGACACAATCACGCGCACATTAAATTGCCAGTGAGTTCGGTTGTCGCCGCTTGGCCGATCGCTGATAATACCGTCGTCGCCGTAGTGTAATATCGGCGACGCATTGTGCGGCTCCAGCGGTGGCTTTGACTGATCAAACAACTTGTAGGTTGGCGATAGACTAGCAAACGCTTTGTTCAAAACTGGTGTGCATGCGTACGTGCGCAGAAACGCAAGAGGTATAGCAGGCGCGCAGAAGTTATGGTTGCAGAAGAGGCAGAGAAAGAGTATCGGTAGCTATACATACACATATGTATGTATTTACATGAAAATTTCAGAGCGTCTAAGCTTTTTAAAAGTTAAATGAATGATTAAAACTTTAAGTAATTTATTAAATTTAAGTGCAACAAAATGTGAAAAGTATGAGAGAAGCGACAATTCGTTGCTGCAACATCTTTTAAAAGTTTCTGAAGTTTCGTACTGACAGATGTAGCGTATTTGTGTAGAAAATTTGTTCTTTAGATGCCCTCCTTATAAAATCGCATTGAATATACGATACAATGATAAGGCCTCAAGCAACATTGGGCTGCGCCGCAGCTATACAGCTTCACAGGAGCATTTCTTGTAGCATAAAAGAGTATAAATAGATCTTTAACTAAATTTGGATTGGTCAGTTTGTATAGCTGCTATATGCTATAATGGTCCGTTGTAAACTATAAATATATATGTTTGGAGATTGAGGCGTTGCGCTGGATAATAATCCATGAGAAATTTCGTAAAGATGTCTCGTCAAATAAAAAGTTTTCTATACAAGGACTTGATTTCAGTTTCATATCCCAAACACTGAGAGACTAGTTCGCGTATATACAGACGGACAAACTGACAGAAATTACTGATTTTTTGCTTAAAACTAGGGAGGAATTTTGAAAATTTTTTTATTTAATATCAAATATCGGTTGATGTGTCAGTTTAAAAAAAGAACAGCAAAATTAAACAGGGTTGATATCGCATACTTTTTGTCCGTGTTAACAATATGGGTTATATATTTTTTTTATTTTCAGCATATAAATTGTAAAAATATTGGTTTTTTGTTAACAACAATTCCACCAACACTAACCAGTCTTTCATTTTTCTTCTTGCAGATAAAAATTCAAACAAACGTTTAATTATGTGTTCAAGTTCAAGAAGTGTGATGGAAATAGAAATTTGAATAATTCATTAATAACAACAACAATATAAACCAACCAACACGATCATACATGTTCATTAAAATGCAAAGTAAACTAATTTTGCATATTTTAGTACAACAACTTGCAGTGGTCACCATGTGAGCAACAACAAAAATTACTTAACTAATAGCTATATACACGTATACGTAATTTACGCCACAACAACAACACATTGCCAGCATATTCATGTTTTGTATAAATTAAATAAGATTAAGTGGAAGCATTGAAATACGTAAGGAAAATATAAATAAACCCCAACAACAAGCAGTTGCAACTCATCGAGCCAGCAAAAAATCTATTACCGTAAAATTTATGCGTTCGCTGACGTTTTGCGAACCGTTAGAATTTTTCACACGCTCAGCGCGCTGACAAAGCGCTTGCACAAGTGGCCACAGAGTCGCAAACGCGCCGAACAAGAAGTTCTTTTGCAAAATTAGCGAATTGACTGACTGGCGCACCAGCGCAGCGGAAGGAGAGGAAGTGCTGCGCCAAGCGTATAGCCAGCAGCTAAGTTCATTCTAAGTGCATTGGCGGCCATTTACGACGGCCAACAAAGAGCCATTGTACGCGAGTGTATTATAAGCCGCTTTGAGCCGACCACGTACCGTATATTGATATGCGTATGTGTGTGTGTGTGTTTGAGTGAAGTGCATAAAAAGTTGAAATGCGAAAAAAGCAACGCGAACGCGTGAAACCGGTTACTTGTTGCAATTGTATTTGAACCCTTCCGTGCAAAACAGAAATAAATAAATAAATAAAAAAAATAAACAAAAACCGAAACAAAACAAAAAACGAAAAGGCAGGCAGCAGGTTATTAGGCAGCCGCAGCCGCAGACGCGCGGTGAATTTCGGAAATTCACAAAGCTCAAAAAACAAAAAAGTAGAAAGAAAGAACAACAAAAAGAAGACAACGAGTCAGAACCAGTCAGAAGTTAAAAGTTGTTTGCTGTTGAAGTCAGTGCAAAAAGTGAAAAACACTAGCACAACAGCAACAGAACAGCAACAAAAAGGTAAACGAGTAGCCACTGCAGTGCACGGCGCAGTAGCAGCGGCAGCAAAACTAGCAGTAGTGTTGGCAGTGGAGCAGTAGTGGCAATTGTGGCAGCGCAACGGCAACACCGTGCAAGTCCAAAGCAGCGGAAATCGAAACTGAAACTCAAATAGCGAGTACAAGAGGAAGCAGCACAGTTGGACTTAACGATTTGGCGCATGCAGTATGCCGACGGCAAACGAGCGTGTGCAGCATACCATAGCCAGTGTTTCTTAACTTTGTGGGCAACTGAAAGAGCGTAGCGTGTTGTTTTCGAAAATTTAGTCAAAAAAATACTAAATAAATTGTATACTTGAGTGAAAGTGTAAAGAACGCAAAGCATTGCAAGTGAATTTTATGCTAAAAAATACATTAAAATAAAAAATAACAGCGACTAGTGGTGTACGGGCGTAATTTCATGCTAAAAAAGTGAAGAAACAAAAAAATTTTGAGAAAAATTATTTGAAAAGGTTTTTAATACGATTTGCAAATAGTTTTGAGTAAATATAATTAATGCGAGTTTTTTGATATTTTAATGCGTCAAATTTTTGAAAAATTAAAACGTAGCGCAAATATTTGAAGAGACATATTTTTATGAAATTTGTTCAGCAATTTTGCTGTTGTGTGTTTTTAAGCAAAAAATTTACGATACAAAAAATATGCAATGAAGTGTTCACTGTGAACATTTTTATAAAATTAAGTGTACAAACTTTCATAAAAGTGAAAAATTAAAAAGAAAATATTGAAAATTTTTAGAGAATTAGAGAAAGTGCTGAAGTAAAATAAAATTTTGCAAATTTTCTGCTAATGCATGTACGCAGAAATAATACCTTAAGAAATTAAAAAAAAAAAATTTGTAAATTTTAAATAAAGTGGCAGCATTTATAATGCAGTGAGGCATTGTGTCGGGAAATATGAACCTTTTTATTGATTGCATAAGAAACTATACCTAAAATGATTGCTTAAAAACATGAGAAATATTAGTTGTAATGCATGCATATAACAAATTAATTAATTTTGGCTAAAACTTATTCGCAAATCCTTTGAAAATGTGTGCGGGGTGTCGTGTGAATTTTGTTAATTAAAATAAAAAAATAAGAAATTGTGAAGAAATTGTGTTAATTTAAAATTTGTTGACGCTGCGAAGAAAAAATTGTGTTCAAAATATGCTAAGCAACAACTTCGCATGAGGTTCTTAAGCCAATTGCTAGCATAACTCAGTGGCAAACGTGCAACAAGTGGCAAGATGTTTGCAGCGTGCAACAAAACTCATTTGCGCATAAATGTAATATACAAAATGAGAAATAAACCAAGCAGTGATTGAAAATTTCGTGTGTGTTAAATATTTATAAATCCTGAAAACAAAATAGTTGTGTGTGTGTGTAGTACAGAAGTAAGCATACGTGTCGTTAAAACAATGTCTGCCTATTTAAAAACAAGCATAACAACAAACAGCGCAAATAATAACGCCAACACTACTGCCAACAACAGCACGTCCCTCAACAACAACAATAGCAGTAGCGCTAGCGAAAATATTGTAAGCAATAAATTAGAAATTTCAACAAATAGCCACAACAACAACACTGCCATAATAAATACCTCAGCAGGAGCGAACGCATGCGCAAATACAAAGCCAGCTGAAGCCACCAACGTTGCGGCGCAACTTTCACTCTTCGATCAGCTTAAGAATAGCGCAAATCTCAATAATATCAAATGCGGCAACAACAACAACAACAGCAGCGATATTAAACTTACAACTCAGAAGAATCTCACCGATTGGCGTAGATTGGCCGACGATGATAGCAGCAACAACAGCGCGTCCAGTTGTAGCAGTAGCAGTGACAGCGATAGTAGTAGCATTTACAACGCCGGCGGCTCAGCGCGTATTGGCTCGAATGAGCGTAAAATTATAGACTCTTTTCAGCAGAAATTTGTTGCCGCTGTGTTAGGCAACGCCAACAGCAGCACACCAAAGACAATCAAAAAAGAAACGACACCAATTACTGCCAAATTGGACCATGCAACAACGTGCAACAGCAATTGCAGTAGTATTAGTGTAAGCAAAATGCATGGGAAAGAATTCGAAAAGTTGCCTGCCGCAAAAGCGCTTGTGCTGGCGACAATTGTCGGTGATAAGAAAGATGCGGAGGCATGCAACAATATTTTAGATCTCACTCTACAACCCGCCGCCAAGCGTAGCATGTGCTTAAGAGCGCCGGCCAATAAAGCCAAGGGTGAAATTAAGGCCACAGCCACTGCCACAGTCGACGCAATAACTCATGCCACAGCCGCAGCTGCATTATGTAAGAGCAGCGTGAACAAGTTAAGCGGCAACACCACTAACAGCCTGTGTGGCAGCAACGCAGATGCGCGTGGTGACAGCAAATTGTGCAACACAACCGCAAACGCCTACAATGCCGTTAATGGGGCGAGCAGCAGTGAGAGGGAAAGTGCCAGTAAGAATATCAACAACAAAAGCAATAGCAATGGCAGCGAACACAATAGACTGAGCCACAGCAATGCTAATTGCGTGTCAACAAAGCTGACCGGCGCAAGCCAACAGCAACAACAAAAGCAAATAAAATTCCCCATGCCCACACTGCCACCGCCCTCATCGACGGTCAGCGCAACAGCTAAGCCCGCTGTCGATGGTAAAAACCGCAAAAGCAATAACAACACAACTGCAAACGCTGGCAGTGTCGGCATTGTGCGTGGCACTAAACGCGCCGCCGGTGCCGCAACAGAGGTCGATGCGCCTGCCACCTCATCTTTGAATAGCTTCACTACACCTGCCTCTGTGGCACCGCTAACGGCGCATTACTTCGCGTTAAGCAAGCGACAAAAGCAAGCGTCAACGGCCACAACAACAATGAACAATTCCGCACATTTCTCCACCGGTTTACTAAGTGATCAACAACAAAAACAATATATGGAAAATATACGCGCTCTACTCGATTCGGATAAGCTAAATTCGGTTTACGCGCGTCACCAGAGCGGCAGCGACCTCAAGTCTGTCGTCTATTCAGCGCTGACAAGCGCTTTATGCGGCGGTAACAGTGCTACGGCCACAGCGGCTAGCAAGCTGCTGGCAGCCGCCAATCAAGCGAAGAAGAAACGCAAGAAGAAACGCTGCACGGATCGTTGTGATTCATCGGAATCTTCAGACAGGTGAGTGAGAGATAGATTTGAGAGAATACAATACTTACGAAAATGTAGTTTTATCTTTGCTCAGTAGATTCTGACTTATCAGAACTCGTTTTTTCGAAATGACAATAAATTTCACAGCTCAATTTAGGCTGGTTCGGAGGACTTCAAATGTATGCTTGGTAAGGTGCTCCTTATGAAAACAGACTAACTTAGTGGCTTTCTGTAGATTACGACCCCTTGGGTTTTGGCATATAGTAGCAAATAATCAAATAAAAATCGGGCTCTGTCTCTCAGGCATGTATAATACTTTCGGACTTGATGAATATTCTGAGATAAAACACAGAAATCACAGCTGAATTAGTTCTTCAGAACTCAGCACTTTTCAGAGAACAGTCGAAAGCTTCGAAGATGTAGGTAAGGTTAGGTTGCCTTTTACTTTTTTACTGGCTGCCTGTCAAGCCATATCTGCTGGTTCTGTGTAATGCCATATGGATGTTCAGGACATCAATGCTTTTTGCGAAGTCTATTTAATTTTAATTAGTTCTGACACTTCATGACAGCGTTACTCGTACTGCATACGACCCAAAGTGGTATGGTTTCCGATTTTATGTCTCAAATATAATTCTAATAGGATACAGTAAAAATATCAGGTTGCAGGCAGCAAGCTACTCTTGAGCTCTGATCAATAAATTCAATCCGTTTTACTCCAGCAAGAAATTTTTGTTTTTTTGCGAAAAATCGAACGCGCTCCCCTTTCCATACATTTAAATCCCACACACTTACTTCACCCAAGTGGCCACGCTGCGGAAACCCGTTTGCCGTGCACAAAATAAATATTAGCCATGACTTTAATGGCACTAAAGAATGACCAGTCAGCCAAACGTTGAGCGCTCAATGCAATATATTTTTATTTATGGCGCATGACTGTCGATTTCCCGTGAGAGTGTTTACACAGTTTTGTTTTTCATGTTGGCTTTGCTCTAAATTTTACGAGTTCTTACAGCAGTTGGCGGGATTAGCAGACAAAATATTTTCGAAGATAAACTGCAATAGAAGTTGCACATATTTTTCATCAAATATTTTAACTCGTTTATGCTTAGTGCAATCTAAATCACATTTAAATGGCAAGGAATTAATTGAGTTTGTTTTGATAGCAATAAAAACAGCAATTAAGAGTGTCAAAATAAAGTAGAGCATAAATAATTCTTGTTTAGCACTTACTATAGCTTTTCAAAGTTGTAAAATCTTGTTTTAGTATACAAAATACTTCAACGCACAAACACTTCATACCTCTCATGCTCAGGCTGTGCGAAGACTGTGCCCCCCTATATTTATGTCGGCACTCGACAGCACTCATTTCCTGATGGCAGCTTGCCATCGGCTGTGCTTTTTTCTACTTGTTGTTGTTATTGTTATCACTGCGCCTTACGTTGTTCTGCAGCATCATTATTTTATTGCATATGAATGTGTGGGCGCCTAATGTACGCTGCCGCACGCTGCAAACTGCATTTATTACAGCAAACAAAATTGGTTGCGCATACGCCCCGCCATCCGCACACATGACACTTATGTGAAGTGAAAAAAAAATCATATGTACATATTGTCTAACGGGGCGGGCGCGCACTTTTGTCAATTTGTTCATTCGACGCGTTGGCAAAGTGTGTGTGTGATTATAATATTTACAAATCTATTGAGTTGATATACAAATTGCATGCTCACGCTGGCACAGCACTTCAGCGCTTGTCTTGCTGGCAAATGTCGCGCAGACAACGCACCCAACCCAGCAGTCAGCCCACCAACCGAGCATTTGTAGTTGCTTTGGCTATTTATCCGCAACGCCTACAACTCTTGCCAATCGCTCGTTTGTGTGCTTTAATTGCGGAAATTTGTCTATAATTAAACATTTTCCATAGAGGCGCAGATGAGTTGTTGCATATATGTATGTGCATATGTAGGTGGCAGTGGGAAGTGAGCTGCAGCAAAGTTGGAATGAGTTGGGTAATATATAAGCTGTATTTGGAGCAGCAGTGATATGGTTAAGCGAGTAAGGGAAGCGGTTTGTATGACTACAACACTTAATAATCCATATTTTTATCAAAGTCATGGTGCCATTTAACGCTTTTCGTATTAGTAAAATATTAGAGAGATTTCCTAAAATTATTTAAAAAAAAAAAATTTGAGCTCACATTTACAAAATATCGCATTAGTGTAGTTTTGAATATATATTTTAAAGTGGCCAAATATTTGTATAAAATTCATTCATCTATGAATTTCGAAAATAATTGTCCTGTACAACTTTTTCTTCAAATTAGATTGTCGAAATACCGTCATAAGCCCCAAACTATGGAATTTCTCACAATTTGTGAAAACGTTTCATGTTTTTTGGAAAGTTTCAACCTAAATTTCGATTAAAATCTATGCTTGAAAGTGTTTCTAACACATTTCTGGGAGTCTAATTGAAACCATTCCGATTAGTAATGGGAAAATCAAGCCCTTTGCGTTTTATTTAACAAAAAAAAAAATTCTGTACTAGAAGATATTGTCCATACACTTGCATACGTTTGAAAAAAAAAAAACTGACAAAATGGCGGTGTTTTTAAAAATAGTTGAATATTACCACAAATTTTGATGGTTTTGACCTTCCAAAATTCGATTTTTATTCTAATCAACTTAACTGGAAGGTAATTATATGGAGATCTATACACAGAATATGCAGAAAAATGTGAAAAACGCGTTTAAAGTTGAACTAAGCTCCAACAGATTAAACTTAGCGGCTACGCTTCAGAAGGTTCTAACTCAAAAATTATTTGTGATAACGATTTAAAATTATAATATGTTCATGCACAACGTCTCAAGATCAGTCATTTCAAGACTCTTGCGCACTTCTGCATGTTCAGCTAACAAAATTTCTCACAGAGTTTCAGTAGCAGTTGCTTATATTGCTGCGATAACCATTGCCGTAGAACGAACTCAACCGTGCTTAGTTTGTTAAAAATGTTTGCTTGTCGACAATAAATTATTTCCAGCTTCTCAAATAAATCTGGTTACACGTTTAAAAGTAAATTTCCCAGACCATGCATTCTTGTTGGCACTTATCACTTGAAAAATGCTATAAAAACTTTGTGAAGTCCAGCGCTGGCAACGGCACGTTCAGCGCTTATGCGCTCGATTTAGTACATATGTGTTTATATATACATATATAATATATACTTATATGTGAATATATGCATGTGTGCAGCTGTGTGTGCTTCGCTGGTTGAGCGTTGCGTGTTGTTTGGTCAGCTGCTTTATCGCTCAACATAAGTTTTGAAAATAATGTTGTTGTTGTTGTTGTAGTTGTTACACCGCCAAATGCATTTGTTTTTATTGCAATAAATTTGTTGGCGTATATTGTTTTTAGCATTGTTTATGTTGTTGTTGTTGTTGCATTGTTGGTTGTGTTGTTGCTCTATCGTTAGCAATTTGCTATCTCAGCAGACTAAATGCATTTGTTAGCTTTACCATTTTTGCAAGCTTCTCCACTTGTTTGTGTTTGTTGTTTTTGCTGCAAATTGTTGTTGTTGCACTTTTCTCCTGTTTTTCTTGAAGTTTTCAGCCAAAGTCTCTTTGCGTTAATTTTTCCTGCAACGGCAATTACTTTTCCTCTTAAGTATCGACATTTATTAATGCCTTAGTGTTGTTTTAATTGTTCTTACTTGCTTTGGTTAAGGTTATATGTTTGTTGTAGTTGTTGTTGTGAATGTTGCTAAATATATTGTATATTATTGTTGTTCTTTGCATTGCTATTGTTTTTCTGTCTTTCTTAGGCTTTGTTCCTTGTTCCGCATTCAGTATTGTTTTTATTGTTTGTTTCCTTAGTTTTGTTGCTGTTTTTTTTTTGGTTATTTTGTGTTGCTATGTTTCACTTTTATTGCTGTTTTGTTCGTTCGGCCTATTCACGAGTTTGCTTAGCTTTTCTTTGATTGTTTTGTTGCTTTCTTTAGTTGGCTTTGTATTGATGTTTTTTGTTTTTGGTTCATTTCGCTATGTTTAGTAGATATGGTTTCTGTTACACTCAAATGAAAAGCAGAGTGTACAGTTTTCAGGCAGCTTCCTGAGTACATAAATAGTTATAATACGGAGATATGTAGGCTGTCTTCATGATTTTGGGTTTTTGCTTGAGAGACAGTACGAACAGTTAATATATATTTTGCCTTATATCTATAGAATATCTCGAAGCGTCTCCAATCTAGAAGTTATCAAGAATATGTTCCAAAATCTATAAACCTAAGGGCAGACCGAAGAAGTCACAGATTCACAACCAGATTGAGAGTTTATTAAAGATAAATTTATAAGGTTCAAAGTCTAGCTGAAAACAGGCTTAGGCTCAAGTTCTTGTGAAGTTTTGGTCATAAAATAAAAATGATCTTGAGCATACTCATAATAGAGTAACCTAAGTTCTACAACATTATACGACAGAATCGTCTTTTTTCTCACTAGGACTTGGACCAACTTTCATACCATTACCGCTTACAGAAAAACTAGAACTTGAGGTTTTCAGTTCCTACCTTAGCACCAAGCGAATAATTTTGTATGGATATAAGCTGGGTGCAATACCTATTACTCGGGAGCATTTCATAGTGAAGATAGATTATATACATATGAACATAGTCAAATGGACATATCAGCAGCCACTTGTAAAGCTCAAATTAGAATGAAAACATTTAGGATACTGGTTTTATGTGCATATGTATGTGCTTATGTATGTATGTATATGATGCAATATGCAATGTAGGTGAGCAAAATGCACTAGACACATAGCACAAAAGCATACTTTTCTATATCTTGCAAGGCTTAAGCATAAAATACACACACTAGCATATATGTACTTACATACAGACAGCTTACTCGTCGTTATGGCGGCGTTTACTCGCTGTCGGTTGGGGGTCATTGTATTGCAACAATGGCGATGGCGTGGAGAAGGTCCCTGACTGAGGCTGCAGACGACAACGACAACGACAACGAGCACGAAGACGTCGGCA